AGCAAAGGTCTGAAGAGGAGTCTTCCTCGCTGTCGATGGCTGATGTGGAATATAGAGACCAGAAGAGTCTCAAATAAACTGCTTTAGATTCAGAATGGTGCACTGAGCTAGCATGCACATCACTGGGTCTTTAGAAGACATTCTGCACACAGGAAGTGCTGCCGGGCAACTGCTGGGGTGATGCTTTGAACTAAGTGCAGATTTCAGTGAGACGTTTTGTATACTTCATCTCTACTGATTTTTATAGTAAGATGTTTTAGACCGTTTGACTCAGAAGACCCATGACCCGTTTTGGACACTGTGGAGGATTCTGTTCACCTTCAGAACCAAAATCAGTTTACTTCTTGTTAACATTTCATTTCTGTGCTCCACTGTGAGTGCTGGCCTTAGCTCCACCATCTGTCTCAAAATAATTCAATAATCTACAGATAAATAAAATAATGCGCTGACAGTTTTACCGCTCCATGTGTATATTGATATAACTCTACATCATTTAAAGGACAAGGCCTACCAGGCGGACACAGGACAGGTTCTTGATCAACCACAAAGGCTAGACGTGAATGGCTGTGAAATTGGATGTTCTAGCCCTCAGATATTTTCCTGACCATGCCTAGGATGTCCTGTTGCCTAGCAACCACAATGGCACTAAACAGAAGCTGGTGAAAATAGAGCTCAGCATTAGGCAGTTTTCGTAGCCACAGATGCCCAGGGACACACAGACAGGGCCAGCAGTCTCTCCAACCACCAGCAGGTCAAGGAGAAGTGTCTTGCCCAAAGAATCAATGACTGATGTGGATCAGCTCTTGTTAGAGTCAGGGATAGAACCAGTAACCGACCAGTTACAAGTTCTACGCTACTGTTGCTAGTTCCTCATAATCTTTCCTGGAGGATAAACAGATGCTTTTACCGCTGGCACTAGTTTTATATATTTATTTATTTTTATCTAAGAGCTAGATAAAATGCTGTTTGAATGATGGTTGCTGAAAAAGACAGCTAAACTAAAGTGAAGCTAAAACTGAGCTAAATATGTCGCCTATATTACTCCCTATGTCAAAAACAGGTGTTTAGGAGAAGAATGAGCTGAAACGTTTCTGAAGAAGCTGAATACAAAAAATAATAAAGCACAGAAAAAAACTATCAGAATATACAGTGGGTGTCATGTTTAGTGGAGGTTTGGACTCAAAACGCAGAATGACAGTGATGCGAAAAAGAAAAATCCTGTTTTACAGCAGCGACAGGTATCAGATCAGTAGTTTGCTTCGGAACTTCTATAGCCTCCTGCTGCTGGGCAGTAGTCTTAATTTTGGCCCCCATACCACGCCATAGACAGGGAAGTCCACAGGCTCAGGCAGCACACTGGAGCCGACTCAAACTCCACACACTCACAGGCAAACTCGAAGCAGAAAACACAGGACAGGTATAACACACACACACACGCACACACGCACACATGCACACACACACACACACACACACATGCGCACACACACGCACGCACACATGCACACACACACACATGCACACACACACGCACGCACACATGCACACACACACACACACACACATGCGCACACACACACACGCGCACACACACACACACACACACACATGCACCCCCCCCCTACACACACACACACACACAAAACGAACCGATGAAAACGCAAGACAAAAGCAGGGCTTTAACACACAGGGCAGTGATCAGGGAAACGGGGAGCAGGTGGGGGGTGAGTGGGAGCTGATGGGAGGCACGAGAGACTAATAAACTACGTGGGGAGGAAACACAAAGGGAGATACTAATTTAAATAATAGAAACATACAGAAGAGTAAAGATATGTGAACTACTAAACCTGAAACTAGACACAAGAACAAACAAGAGACACTAGATCATTAGCTGAAGAGAACTAAACTAAAGAGACAAGAACCAACCTAATACTGGGGGACTAACAAAGAGATGGGACAGCTAAATATGAAGTGACCAGAGGGAACATGGGGGAGACTTGGAAGGGGCTGGAGACCACAGGGACACAGAACATGACAGTGGGGCGTGAAAGTTTGAGCAGCCTTGTTAATCTTCCTGCTTCATCATCATTAATTTTATTTACAGTATAACAGATGTGTAACACAGCTAAACCTGCCTAATTAAAAGTTAACGTCTTTATCCCAGATTTAAAAACGAAAGTGATGGGGCTGTTTGAACTGCTAAAGGCAGAGCATTCTTCAGTCGGGGCTCAGCTACTGAGAAGGCTCGTCCACCTCACATTTCCAGGTTATCTTGGAGTAGACAGCAGACACTGGTCTGCAGACCTGAGTGAACTGATTGGAGTGTGGCAGTTTACAAGTGGCTGAAGATAGACCGGTGCTTCCCCAGATGATACTTTAAAAATAAAGACTAAAACCTTAAAATCAATTCTAAAATGGACTGGCAGCCAGTGTAAGTCCGCCAGCGCTGGGGTGATGTGATCATCAGCCACAGACTGGTCACCAACCTGATGAGAGTTTGGATAAATCCCCAGGAGCCAGGCAACTATTCTCTGAGCCCGACCTAAAGATTAGCAACTCATACGTAGTCTAATGCGTGCAGGTGAAGCCTAACTATGCTTCCAAAAGAGCAGTCCTAACAGTAATAAATAAAGCGAGAAGAGCAAGGTCCAAGGATGGAACCCTGTGGAACCCCCAAAGGAGGGAAGCCCTGTCCGAGGAGCAACCATAATTAGACAGGTGCACCACAACAAATAAATGAGCTGAATATTTAGTAGATCCTCCTTTTGAGGAAATAACAGCCTCTAAATGCTTCCTGTAGCTTCTAAGGAGAGTCTGGATTCTGGCTGAAGGTTTTCTGGACCATTCTTCTTCACAAAACATCTCCAGTTCATTCAGGTCTGATGGCTTCTGAGCATAGACAGCTCTCTAACTCACACCACAGATGTTCTATAATATTCAGGTCTGAGGACTGAGATGGCCATTCCAGAACATTCTACTTGTCCCTCTGCATGAACGCCTCAGTAGATGTTGAGCAGTGTTTAGGCTGTCGTCTTGTTGAAAGATCCAGCCCTGGTGCAGCTTCAGGTTTGTCACAGATTCCTGGACACTGGTCTCCAGTATCTGCTGGTATTGAGTGGAATCCATGCATCCCTCATCTTTAACGAGACTCCCAGTCCCTGCACTGGCCACACAGCCCACAGCATGATGGAACCTCCACCATGTTTTACTGTAGGTAGCAGGTGTTTTTCTAGGAATGCAGTGTTCATTTTCCTCCATGCATAACGCCCTGGTTCTGCCCAAATAACTCAGTTTCAGTTGTATCAGTCCGCAGCACTGTAGGGCTGGGAAAGGCCGACAAGCTTATTTGTCCACTGTAATGTCAGAGGTCAGCAGACATTGATTTTTCCACAGCCTGCTTCATCAAGGGTAAACTTTCACCTCAAGACACAAGCTGTCTGTAGTCTTGCACCAGAAGGTAGCCATAATGAACTCCTTCTCCTGACTGCCTTATCTGAGCTGCAAGGTCTAATGCAGAAGTCCAGACTTTTGTTCTCTTAATAAAATGATTCTTAATTTGGTCTCATGAAATGACTTGTTTCAATCGACAGGTTGCTTACAATCATATTCTGTGTTATCTGCCATGAATGTTCTATCTAAAGTGATTTACTAATTAATTAATCTACATAAATGTTTATTAATTCATGACTTATTTCAGATATTAAATACACTAAATGAGTCTACTCGATGGTTTAATAAAGATGTATTATTGTTACATTCACATAACAAATGAATGTTTAACAGATTTACTCCATGTATTAAGTGAAGTGAGTTTTCTAAGCGTCTCAGAAAGGGCAGTGAAACGAGTAAACGCCTATTCAAATTCCTCACATCTGGTTGGTCAAAGTTTATAAATAACCACTTGTTAAAAGTGAACTCACTTCCTGTTTTCCAGTTTCAGCCAAAGCTCGCAGCTCTTGCTAAAAGACAATCCGACGGGGAATCAACCAGATGTTTCAGTGGAATCATTTTAAAGAACCGTCCATTTTTGAATCAATCCGTTATTATTTACTCAATCCACCACCCACTCATCAGACGTGAAACCGTCCACCAGAAGCCACCTGGGACGTATCTTCTGACCAGTCGTGCGTATGCTGAGGGTGTCTACGACCTTCAGATACATCAGAAGTCCATGCTTCGCTTGCAGACTGGATCTCCAAGAACTTCCACAATCCTGGTGCGTATAATGGCATCACAGTGGTTGATATTAATTTGGTAACTTGTTAAATTACATCGAACACCCAAATGTATTCTATAAACCAGACATCTCCCCTTTCTGAGTCACTTAGAAAGCTCTTGAACACACCAGGTCATGTTTCAACAGAGTTCCTTCATTGTCTCATTTAACATCACCGTGTCACCATTTATAATCATTAGTCTTTCATCATCATTGATATAATAATAAATTGATTTTTATAAACTATATTTTTGTCTCTGCGTCAGATTATTATAAAGTGTTGTTTCCCTGGATTAACCAAAGTTTCTAGTTTCATCTTCAGTCGAATCAAAGGCTCAGTAATATTGGTAATCCATATTTTATGGAATATTGCATTTTATTGAATAATTTTATATTCTATTGACAATTTATTAAAAGTAACCACCTACAAATGGTTACAGCACCGTTTTCGAAAATGACGCTGACCCGAAGCTGCTCTGTTTGTGCCGTGGGTGGAGAGGAGGCTTCCTCTGCATCACTCTCATACAGCATCTTCTTTTGTAAAGTGCGTCTAATTGTTGCATGGTGACTCCATCTACAGCAAGATGATGTTGTAGATCTCTGGAGGATGACCAGCTCAGTGGCCTAGTAGTGTGAATGTCTGCCCTGGGACTGGGAGAACAGGGTTCAAATCCCAGTCAGGTCATACTAAAGACTGAAAAATAGGACCCTGTGCCTCCTTGCTTGACACTCTGCATTAAGGGGTTGGATTGGGGGGTTAAAACTACCAAATAATTCCCAAGCACAGCTGTGTCAGCAGCTCACCACTCCTCCATGGGATGGGTAAAATGCCGAGAACAATTGTCCCACACACCAGTGTGTGTGAGACAGCAAGTGGGACTTTAACCTTAGCTGTGTGCTGGTCTGTGGGTCGGCTCTGCCCCCTCGTGCACACTGGAAGCAAAAGTGTGACGATTGCTGCAGAGAAACAATTAAACTTGATTAACACCAGAGCCATGCGCCACTATCACCTGCACTGTAAATGACCAATCCAATCCCTTTCTTACCTTTTCAACAGTTTCATGTAAAGTTATGTTCAGCACAAAGTTTAATTACAACACTTCAATGAGACAGAGCCTGGATTTGTATTCTGAACACTTTAAACATGTTTTAAAAGGAAAAGTGTGACACACGGTGTTCATTTTGACAAGAATTTTCAATTTAGTTTTAGTCTTAGTCTTTTGACAAAAATTAATATTTATTTTAGTCACAATTTAGTCATCCCGTTTGTTCTAGTTCTATTCTTATTTATTTGACTAAAACAAATGTATTTTTCTTCTGATTCATTCATTTTCAACGTGTATAAAGGAAATGTGAACTACATCGTTGCTTAGTATGAGGATTGCTGTAAAGACTGACACTAGTCAGTGACTCGATGCGACCTGCTGGGTTCCTCATATAGGAATCTTTTTACTGATTGGCTTAATGACCTGACCTGTATTGTTTACTGTGTGAAGCTCCTTGAGACAACTCTGGTCGTGATTTGGTGCTTTATAAATTTAATTGAAATACATATTTTTGAAACTTTAAAGAAATATGAAAAATTCACATTTCACACTTTGGATTAATAAAACTATATTTATAATTGTTTTCATACCAATAATTCTTGGAAGAAAAAACTAAATGGTCTCCGGACGCTGATGCAGCTTTCTGGTCACTCAAAGAAAAGTTAACTAACGCTCCTGTTCTTACCAGGAAGAGATTGGAGAGCCCAACCCAAAGTCCCCGAACACTGATACCTCACTGGAAGACGTGCTGGTGGGACTGAGGGGGTCTTCAAAGTATTCTGCCCACCGATCCAAAACTCTATGGTTAACTGGATGTTTTAGGTAGGCTTTAGCTCCGGAAAAGCTCCGAGGAGATCTGGAACTAGAATGGCGAAAGAACGCGTTCATAAACCCGTTCACACACTCCAGGATGAACTTTTACGTTCGCCAGGCAAAATATGAACAAGTTCAGTTCACGTTCATGAAAAAAAAACGAACAAATTCGGGCACAACTCTGGTGATCAAAGCTGCAGAGAAAATACCAAACACACACCTGCCTGCCCCGGATGACATCTTCACCACTCGCTGCCTTTGGAAAACCAAACATCCTAAAGGACTCAACCCACCCTGCCAAACATCTCCTTAAACTTTTTCCATCTGGCAAACGATACAGGACAATAAAAACACGCACCAGCGTTCATGCAGGAGCCATCACTGACCTGAATATTGGTGCTAGGAGCTCACACCAACAGTGATTCTGTGGGACATTTAGCTAGTTAATCCTGATACCTCAACATGTGACTGTTTACATTTACTGTATGTTTACCAGTATTTTACTTCATATTAGACTGTCTTATTACCGTGTTACCAATTATACCCATATCTGTGCACCTTAAAATTACTGTGTGTGTGTGAGTGTGTGTGACTGTGCATGCATAACATCAATTTTAGCCTTGCTATTTTACTTATATTTTACCACCTCCTTATGTGAACTGTCTTCAGTGAGCACAAAGACAATTTTGTTGAACATCTGTGCAATGATAGTTAAACAATCTTGAATTTCTGATCATGAAAAAACATCAGATATGTAAATAAGATTCATTCTATTGGGTATTTTATTACTTTTTTATTACATTCAAACAGAAAATTGACATATGAAGAAGTCATTTTCCCTTCCTAACAAATAAACAGCAGATTTTCAACCCCCCCCCCCCCCCCCCTGTGCCTTTTGGCTTAGGTGTGGGTGCCCCCTAGTGGTGAATGCATGCAACTGAGTCTGATCACATCAGTCCCTATTGGCCGTGCATTATTTAATAAGGACAGATCGTGTCAGTGTTCATTTTATTAATATCAATGTTAGTAGCAGTAATAAAATTATGTTTAACATGAGCCAATGCAATAATTAGTACTATAGATGAGGTCATTTTGGTGAATTGAAGCATAAAGTAGCATCTTCAGGAAAGCAGGAAATAGCATCTGGGATGAACTAGTACTGTCTGAGTTTTCTCTTCGTGGATTGGGCGATCGCAGTTTAAAATAAATGGCTGAGAAACCCTTTAGGAGTGGCCTGCAAAATAAAAAAAACGGAAAAATCACAGAACGCCATAAAAAGCGCTATTCTGAGGGCGCAAGTGCCTCAGTGTGGCGTTCAATGACCAGAAAAAAACTTCGTTTTTACGAAGACGGTGCACAATTGTGCTTTTTTCCGGCGTTTTTTTGTTTAAAGACAGCGATTTAGACGCCGGCAAATAACCACACGTGCTCTAAAGTGGGCGAATTGTGATCCGAGCCGCTTGCCATACTATGCGTGAGTCTCACGCTCAGTGCGTGAGAGTTGGCAGCCCTGCGTTTCTTCTAAAAACTACTCCGGATCTGACGGTACACGAAACTTTTTTTTTTTATTGCAGAAAAGCATATTTACATTACAAATAAGGCGAACATGCCAATGTATTCAGATGAGAATTGAACAGTCAGTGAAAAGGGGGAGGACAAAAACAATGCAAGGGACCACTACACAGTTCCAGGAAGTCTACAAAAAAGTCTATACATATCTTCATAGCTGTTATTATTGATACATTTAAGGGATCTTGGATACAATCTAAAATCATGTACAAATGCATTGAACACAGGGGGTGATTTCAGTATTTTTTGTTTATGTATGAAGAATTTTGCCAGACAGAGAAGTAGATTGTAGCAGAGTTCTTGGTTGTTTGTTTGAAGGAGAGCTCCAAAGGTGACGACATCTCTTGAAATGGGACATGGGATTCCAATCTGAGGTTGAATCCAGTTTTCAAAACAGTTCCAAAACGTCCGTGTCTTGTTGCATTCAAAGAAAATATGATCAGTTGTTTCAACATCCTTCCCACAAAAGGAACATGAATTATCATCCATGTTAAAACGTTTTCTGAGCAGATCCTTTGAGGGATAGACATTGTTTACAATTTTAAAATGTGTTTCTTTGACTTTAGGTTGAACAGGAAGTTTTAAATAAAGAGTCCTTAGTTTAATAATGGAGCTTTTACCAAATTTGTAAATTATGTTGTTCTTGTTGACTTTACAAGGGTATAGTTGATCAGTAAAACATCGTCTAATAAATTGGTTGGTACACTTTTTATCCGTAAGGGGAATACCTTGGATGGAGATAGAGCCATACTGTGGATTTATAGGTTGGTGTTGAATAATGTTTCTGTACTGGAAGACCACCTCTTTAGGAAGCGCTATTAATAATTTTATAAAATCAGATTTAGGAGGACGGTACACGAAACCTGCAGCGAGGGAAAGCGGTTTCCTCATTCATGAACTAGCCAATCGTAGGAGAGCCCTTCTAGCCAATCAGGGGCGAGAAAGGCGGGACCTTCCTTGGACGTCCTAGGATTCCAAGCTTCCGGCGATCCATAAGCCGACAGGTGAGGGAGGAAACGTATAGCTGTTTTCCATCGCCAGGTCAGGAACGACCAGTCTGGGCGGTGGAAAAGCTTAAGGCTCCCTACGAGGACGGACAGGCACTCATGAGCACGCAATCCCTGAGTTTGGACACAGTCGCGTGCACACCGACCGCCCCGTACTACAAGCTGCAGCTCCATGCACCGACCTGTCACATGACCGACACACACCTGCTGCAGGTGTCCCCGGACCACGGGATAATGGTCGCATGCAGCTCATTCTGGGAGAAAGTATCGGGTTCTTGCTGGGACCCGATCCGGTTCAGGTGGCCTGCTTTCCCAGTTCCGCATTCCCTCTGGTCTGCAGGCGCGGGACTCGGATCCATGATCACCAAAAGAATCAACAAAAACCGGTTGGTCCGGCTCGTCCGTCCTAACAGAGCTGGTTCCTGCTCCCCGGCAGAGACGGAGCGGTACGGACCGGCTGCTGAGCTGGATGTCCGGGAGAACCGGAGCCCAGGATGGAGAACTGCTGCCGCTCCTGTTGTCCCTGTCTGAGGAGGCTTTGGAACTGCATCTGGCCGGACGTCCGCTATCCGAACCAGAACCTCGTCATCGCGAACCCGACAGCCCGTGAAGCCGAGATCCGAACAGTGTCGGGGGACATTCGCCCCCCGTCGCCCCGAAAGCGTCCGGTCCAGCTGTACGCGGCGCTGTACGACTTCGAGGCCAGAAGCGAGGACGAGCTTTCGGTCCGGGAGGGGGACAAGCTGTCGGTCCTGGAGAAGAGGGGCGACTACGTGCTAGCCAAGAAGCTGACTGGGACTCTGGAGTCCGGGCTTGTCCCGGCCAACTACGTGGCTCTGCTGCGGGACGAGTTCGCCAAACACAAGTAAGTTCACAACCCGGTCCACTGCCCCGGTCTGGGTTCTCATACACCGGGTCCAGTTTGGGACCTGGACGGTCCAGTACGTTCTTGTGTTCTAGACTAATGAGGACGCTGCTTGTTTCTAGCCATGGTTAAACAACCTGATATAAAATAAAAAGTCTAATTTGTTCCTTAAATAATAACGAAAACATATTTCTTGGATTATATTTGTTCCACTTTTGGTCAAAACTGATAAAATACCAGCATTTCCTGTTAAATGAGTAAAAAATAAATAGTTTTTCATCAAAACAGAGCAACTGCTTTTATTTTGATAGTGCGTTAGCTAATCGGTCCCTGTCAGACACGTGACCTGTATTTCAACCACACCCCATAGCGCCATTTTGGGTGTACGACTTTTTTTTAATTATTATTATTATTATTGTACAAATTAACAAATACAGCGCATATCTTACAAATCAAAAAGATATGAATAAGTACAGGTGGTTGAGAACAAAGCAGCCATCGAACAAAGAACAACAGAAGAGAACAGTATAGGTCAGAAATAACATAAAGCAGCATACAAGTACATTAAATGACCTTCCATTTAAAGTAACAGAAAAAAAGAAAAGCCTTAAAAAAGAAAAAACAAAGAAAACAAAGCAAAAACAGAAGTAGCACATACAGTCTAGCTACGTCAGTTGAAAAGCAGCATCGAAAATTCAAGTAAGATGTGATCTTTATTTAGTTTACACTTATCTAATGAAGCCTTCAATAGAAGGACTTCATTTTTAAAACCAGTAAAAATCGGAGTAATTTTTAAGAAGCAACATTTATGAATGAAACATTTTGCAACTATAAATAAGTTGTTAATCCCAAATTCTATTTTCTTATTTTCTGTTTGTAGGCCAAATCTAATTACTTGAAAGGTTAGAGAAGGGCAGTCATTATTTTTAGAGGTTAACCAGTACTGAAAACCATCCCAAAAAGATCTGGAACTGTCACATGAATAAAAAAGGTGCTCTGTAGTCTCAATGTCAGTGTTGCAAAAAGTGCATGTGTTCGTATCTATATTGAATTTCTTGTGAAGATCGTCCTTGGACGGGTATATGGCATTTAAAATGTTAAAGTGATTTTCTTTTGCTTTTGGTGGCATTGGAAAAGAAAGATACTTAATCAAAAACCTAGAATTATAATCTTTAAACAAACATTTTCTTTTTAATCGAGAAGGAAAAAGTAGTTTGGTTAGAATTGTCCTTAAAAATGTATTATTGCATGTCTTTCCTTTAAATTGATGATCATCAATAATTAAGGACGGTTCACGAATTGTAGAGGAAGAATAGGATAAACTGGCTTTAGCCATCTGAATCATTGCAGGGGGAATGGCTTTCACTACTTTAATGAATTTACTTTGAGTACATGATACGCCACAATTAATATATGAATTTATTATACCATCATTGCCATCATTGTCTAACAGGTGTAAAACTGTCCAAATTCCATGATCCATCCAATCCTTATAAAAAATGGATTTTCTTTTTATCAATATACATCTGTTGTTCCAAATTGAATTTGTATGTGGAGAAAATTTATGCTTGTAAATCATTTTCCAGTACTGGAGAACCTGTTTATGAAATTTTGATAATTTAATTGGTAATTTGGAAATTTCAAAGTCACACTTTAAGAGAAATTCAATGCCACCAAGCTTCTCGAAAATTATTTTAGGGAAATAAAACCAAATACTGTTTGAGTTATTTTTGAAAGACTGCAACCATTCGAGTTTGATGGAACCATCCATTGCTTCAAAATCAATCGCATTCAAACCTCCTTCTTCAAATGATTTCACTACATCATTCTTCCTAATATAATGTTGCTTGTTTCTCCAAATGTAATTAAAGTTAATTTGATTAATATTAATGATTAGTCTATTGGAAACATATAAGCATTGTGATGGATAAATCAGTCGAGCGATACCTTCTGTTTTGGTAAGTAAGACGAATCCAAAGATGGAGAGGTCTCTTTGTAACCAGCTGATTAGGATCTCTTTAGATTTCTGGGTAATATGATCAAAATTTAGATTTTCTCTATTATTTGTATTCTTTGAGATTATAACACCCAAATATTTAATTTAAGTTTTAATAGCAATGTTAAGAGAGAGTCTGCGTTCACAACCATGAATATTTAATAATTCACATTTTCTGATATTCAGGTACAAATCAGAGGCCTTTGAAAATAGTGAAATTTCATTTAGTGCGAGAGGAACCTGTGACGTGTTCTTTAAAAATAGTGTAGTATCATCTGCTAATTGACTTATGATCAATGGGGCTCCCATCAAGTTCAGTGGTTGAATATTTGGATTGTGTTTCATGAAAATAGCTAAAAGTTCATTTACAACAATGAAAAGTAACGGAGAAGCTGGACACCCCTGGCGGATTCCTCGACTGACGTTAAATCGTTTAGACGTTCCAAAAGGTAAAGAAATAGAACTACTGATATCAGAGTATAACAAAGAAATTAAATCTATGAATTTTTTACCAAAACCAAAATACTGTAAAGCTTTTAAAATAAAAGGATGTTCGACCGTATCAAATGCTTTATAAAAGTCTAAAAAAAGAATCACACCATCATCTTCAATTAAGTGATTATAATCCAGTAGATCTAAAACTAATCTAAAATTATTGTGGATAGAACGATTCTTAAGGAACCCAGATTGTGTTTCACTAATAATCTGATCTAAGCCGTCCTTTAATCTGTTTGCAATAACACGAGCAAGAATTTTATAATCTGTATTCGATAGAGTAATTGGTCGTAGATTATCGGTTAATCTTTTATCTTTACCAGGTTTGGGAATAAGGGAAATACGATCCTCTTTCATTGTCGTTGCTAATGGTCTGTGTGGTATAAAAGTTTATACTCGGAAAGGACATCTGTTATTTTTTCCAGCATGAGCTTATTTAGAGTTACAGAGGAGAACCCATAAACATCAATACTCAATACAACTGCCAGCCAGTGTCCTGAAATATCAGCCTGAACGGCATTAAAGTGGGAGATTACAGGTGTAGTATTTTGCTCGTGCCCTTGCTGCCTTGGGCCTGGGCCCTTTAGGGTTCGTGGGCCCCTGGGCAATTGCCCAGTTGCCCATATGGTTAATCGGACCTTGGTACTTGTGTGAGCCTGATTGATAGTTTAAGACAAATATAATAATTTAATCTCAGGTTTGTTTAATTAACAGTGAATGGCAGTTTTTTTTGTCTTAGTTTCAGGTTAACATAGCTGCAGAATATAATTTCTTGATTGAGTAGGTTAATCTGTGTTTAGTACAAAATGGTTTAAGATGTAATGAATCAAGGTAATATTTTAGAACAAAATAAAAACTTTGCTTTTCTGTACCTCTGGATCCTTTTTATGAACAGACCCACCTTTGGCTTTGGTTGTGGTTGCTTATGGGGGGTGTAATGTGATGGAAGTGTTTACTTTAACTGAATGATCAATCAGAAGTGATATTCCACATAAATGTGAATTATGAATATTATTGATCTTTTTATATTTTATTTCATATGCTCTTAGGACTTGCCAGGGAAAACCCACACTAAATAATTGTGATGGGAGTCCAAAATACAGTTATAAAGTGTGTGTAATACTATATTTCTTACGACTAATAATTACAAGACCAATTTTGACAAGTGATGTTTGGACGATGTAACTGAGACCATGAATGAAGTAATGGTGAAATGTGACCTTAAATGTTATGTCACAAAGCCAAATTAAGTGTCTTTGAAAAGTTTGATGTGTGGGTAGTGAAATGATTTTGGCTGAATGTTATGGTTTATCAAACTAAGCTAATATCTAATATACCGATAGGTTAACATTATTAAATTCAAAAAATATAACAATTATAATTATCATGCAATTACAGGAATGTCTATTCAGGCTAACTTGGTATTCATTAATGTAAAGCATTGAACACATTAAAACACTTTGGATTAAACACATATTTTCAATTCAACAGGATGTGATTGTAACTCATTTAATAACTTGGAAGTTAAAAAGTAATTTATGAGCCAGAATACACCAAATACTACTATTCTTACACTGAATACTTTTTATTGTGTAGAAAAATTTGTGGATGAACATTTCTGAGTGACTGAGACCTATTGTAGTTCCCCCGTTGTACCACTAGGAGAGGTAGCTACGCATTGTCTTCACGAACAAGTACAAAACGGTAAATATCTAATAATGTGTAAACTGGTTTCTACGCTTAAAATAGACTAATTGTGCATAGGTCCTGACCTACAGCTTCATCAGATCCTGAACTGATGGGTTTCTTTTAAAAATATATATTATTTTCTTAACATCTTAGGACAAGAAATGCACTATATAAAAATATCCAGGACTTCAGACAGGTACATTCTGGTTATATAGCCCTGGAAGAGGTGTAAAACCAAGGAAACCGCCGTTGATTAAATATAGAAAACAAAACGCATGCATTCAGGACAGAAAATACAAAAATGTGCAAATGAATACTTCTCCTCTCACAAAAAGCACCAAAGCAAGCAAAATTGAGAATAAGCAAGCGCCCAGTGTAGAACCTTATTACCAGGAGCGTTAGAAAAAGTTGCCCTCAGGTCTGTCCTTTAGCGAGGTCAGAGTCAGCGCTATGCTAATGACATGGAGCCGAGTGCTTCCTTCCACGCTTCCATACTGCACAGGACACAGATGGATTTAGAGAACACTGGGTGAGACAAGACTGCCATCAGATATTGTTCCCCCTGTGCAATAAGGGGGAATAGATCTATCCATCTATCTGTCTAATCAATATTTATCTATCTAATAAATGTATCTCAGAAGGAATACACAGAAGATATTCGCTGAATCATGCTTTTTGAACCTTCATGGTTCCCGTAGTCTGCCTGTTCACGAGCAGAGTGCTGGTAATGTGTGTGAACGAGCTATCGTTCAGCGCGGGTTTCCTTTGTGCAGCCTGGGTGGAGCTGAGCAGCGCTTTTGACGCGAGGGCGGAGCGGAGCTGTAGGGGAAACAGTATTTGATGGTTCACCGGCATTGGGGGGGGGGGGGGGGTGTCATCTTTACAGTAAGTATACAAAAACACGTATAAAACTACAGCCTGGAGGCTGGACTGGGATGAAAAAGCAGCCCGGGCATTTTGAGCCAACACCGGCCCACCAGCTGTTGATGCAAAAACAACGATGCCTATTTTTTTACACCAGCTTTCTAACCTTGGTCTTCAATATTCCTTATCCATCATGTTTTAGTTATTTCCCTGCTCCAGCACAAAAACTGGGCTTAACGCAACAACACAAAGCAAATAAACATCCACAGACCAAGAAAAAACACTGAAATCCTGCTGCTTGTTGTATGCCCTAAAGCTCATTTACACACACACACACACACACACACACACACACACACACGCACACACACGCACACACACACACACACACACACACACACACAGCCTGAACCCACTATGCCGGTTCTGTGTCTCCTCTACGCAGCAAACGTACTGATGAAAGGGAAGTCCGGTGCCCTCATTCTGGTCTCACAGGGACATTTTCGGATGCATCTGACGGAGCACGGATAGATGAACCGAACCGGAGCCGGTCAGAACCGCTCCAGTAACTGGACTTAAGCACAACGAATACTTTAAAAAGATAATACGCCACCTCTGCCTTTTATTTTCTTGTTTTGTTCTCCAAACGTTGGTGCTAAACTAAAGGCGTGTTAGCTTCTCTCCACTAAATGTTAGCTCAACTAGAAGTTGGTTAGTCGGTGATGACGTTTCTGATGAAGCTGATTGGATAAAACTAAGTGGATGAGTAGATTTCCCAGCATGCTTTGTTTTGTAAATGTTATAATAAATGAATTAAGATTATTTTATACTGAAATGTAACACAATCATTGCTTAAATAAGAAATGAAAACTGAAGAAAGTGAAAGGGTGACAACAGCTGCAGGTGGACGGAGAGCTGCACCACGACAGAGATGGAGCTGGCTGGGCTGCAGTTTCTTGTCATTTGTATGAATAGAGCGTTACGTTATGAACAACGTTGGTACGATTCATGAGACAGGTGGAATATATGTATTGGTGCTCAGCCCGTATATCTGAGAAGCCCACCAACATGACGTCCAAAATCGGGATGACAGGGGGCCGGTACCAGTGGCCAATCGCCAGTGATGACTGTTGGCCCACCGGACAAGTGCTCGCCGTGCCCGATGGCCAGTGCAGCCCTGGGCCCTAAGCAAGAGTTTGTTCTATTTTGTCAAACTGCAATTGAATGATAGCCTACCGTAGATGATCTATAAACACTCCATAAATTGTCACAAATTACAAGCAAAACATGGTCCAGAGGACAGGGGTGTGACCTTGAGCGGAGGTCACTGGAGGGTTTTCATCCTCACCGAGCAGCTGTGCACACTGCTGCTCCTGAAATGGTTGATGCTTCAGGGCCTCCTTCTGCTGCTTGTGGCTGATTTGTTGTGGAGCTGGTGGTGAGAGGAAGCTGATAGCCAGGCGATCTTCTGGGGATAAATCTGGGTGTCGTGGGTCGACGGTACCTGGGCCTGACTCTGTTGTCCAGGAGTCCAGAAGATGTGGAGCATCTCCTGCAGCATCCTGTCTCTGACATTGTCTATTGCTGGTGATGGTGGATGGCTCTTCATCAGAAGCATCTCTAGAATTATAAATAGATCAGATTTTATTAAACATACTCAAGCAGTAAGTACTAGAAAATGAAAACTGTAAAAAACACAGAACTAAAGCTAGAAATATATTTGAACTGTAGATAAACTCACAGCAGCTGTGATGGAGAATCATCTTCATCCCCACCTGGATCCTCAACCACAGATGTGTCTTCCTGGAAGTAGCAGTAATAGTATATAATAGTATAGTAATAGTGTTAGCAGAAATACTAGACAACAGAAACTGGAACATGTTTAGTGCAGAGATACTGCATTTGGGATGGAAAAACGATGTGGGCACGTCCTGCTCCTCTTCTTTCTAAAAGATTTCTTGGTTTTTTCCATTATTTATAAAAACAAATCTAACATATAAAATAATAAAAAGACAAACTACGGGTGACAAAACGAGTACAAAAAAACGGCAAAGTGATGTCAAGTATGACGAAATTTATTCTAAAATTACTAAAAAAAAAACAAAACAAAGTAAGACGTTTACTGAAGATATCTATTATTTACACCAGTAGAGGAGATAGAAGTTGAAAATACGCGTCCAAAACCGTTCCTCTGCTGCTCTATGAACATGGCACGCGTTTATTTCCTGGTTCCTAGGCAGGGACTAACATTACCGTAATGTATTGTATACCACTGGAAAGCACATCGTCTCTATACACACACTCGGTGTACAGGGTGGGCCGTTGCTATGGACACACCTTAATAAAACGGGAATGGTCGGTGATATTAACGTCATGTTTGTGGCACATTAGTAGATGTGAGGGGGCAAACTTTTCGAGATAGGTGGTGACCATGGTGGCCATTTTGAAGTCGGCCATATTGGATCCAACCTTTGATTTTTTTTAATAGGAAGAGAGTCATGTGACACATCAGACTTATAGGAAATTTCCTAATAAAAACTATGGTGTGCTTGGTTTTAACGTAACTTTATTCTGTCATGAGTTATTTTGCTCCACTTCAGCTTGTGTAATTGTCTGAATATACTCCTCTGGAAAGGCAACCAGAAATGAGTCTCAGTGGGAAAATTACCCGACTTTAAAGTGCAAGTAACACGTGAATTAGTTTTTTTGCTGACCGCTTGTACTGACAAGTGTCTAATAGTGCTGGAGACATGTGTAATCATTAGTGTGGCAGTTTAGTGCAACTTACTTTAAACTTAATATTTCAGCCCAAAACCATAATTCGATCTCAATCTTCAGGTTAAAACTCTGCTCCTTATTTATGTAGAACCAGCTGTTGCTGATGGCACTGCACTGGTCTCGGGGTGAGGCAGCCGCACCTCCACCTGGCTCAACCACTCACCTGCAGATATTACAAGATATAGCACTTGGAGCCGCTGGCCTCCTTGAAAAAAATGCCCTCCTCCCCTTTTCATCTAATGATGGTGGTTAACAGGAAATCCTCCAGAATCTGTCTGCTCTTCTCCTGAGAGGAAAGTCTACTGTGAGTGTGTGCGTGCGAGTGCGCTCATTAACAACTTGTTTTAGACTTAGAAACTCCAACAGTGCACGTGGGGGGGTTGAGGGGGGCCTCAGTCCTGCTCTCTCAGTGCACCAGGCAACGCCTCTTTCATTTTCGAACAGGGGGAAACACTATTTTAGATTTTTTGTGAGAACAAGTCCAGGACTACAAATGCGCTTCACGAAAGTGACGTCATCGAACCAGACACGGAGAACACTGAGAGAGAAGGGCTGTAAGTTCAGCAAACTTCTCACAGGAGGAAAGAACCACCATAACCACGGCTGCATGGTGGCGCAGTGGTTAGCACTGTTGCCTCGCAGCATGAAGGTTGCAGGTTCGAAACTCGGCTGCGGCCTTTCTGCGTGGAGTTTCCTCCGGGTACTCCGGTTTCCCCCACAGATCACAACATGCCCTATAGGTTATAAATTGTAAGTTGCTTTGGATAAAAGCGTCTGCTAAATAAATAAACATAAACATAAATTTGGCCATTTGGCAAATATAGACTATATATATATATCTCATTTTTACAATTTATATCCCAAAAATAAATTCTGAAGGTATGTTGTTAACATTTTTTTTACCTTCTGAAGGTGTGGCGGCTTTTATTATATTATATAACAACAATAATAATAATTATTATTATTATTTTTATTATACACATAGCAGAAACCCTGCTTTGTGTTTGAAATGTGCTATACAAGTAAAGCTGCCTTGCCTTCTACTCCATCCATGCTGATGATGTCGTCTGTCGTTTATCATAATGACACTTCATTCATTCTCACAGTCCTTCATGCTTCTTCATGTCCTTTGTGTGAAGGTGGTACTATGGGAACATAAACCGTGTGAAAGCTGAGAAGCTGCTGCTTGCTACCCAAAACAAAGATGGTGCCTTCCTGGTTCGGATCAGTGAGAGTCACAGTGATGAGTACACAATCTCAAGTGAGTACCACCATTGTCCTGTCCATCCATTTCAATCTTGGGTTTTGCCAAAACAAAGACTTATCACTAAACTGGAATAAATCCGTTTATTGACACTTTTGAGTTGGTGCACTGAGTGAATGGCTTCTTCTTACCAAACATGGATGTTACAGTAGTGCAAAGAAGTTTTTAGTCAGCCACCAATTGTGCAACTTTTCCCACTTAAGATGAGAGAGACCTGTCATTTTTATCCTAGGTATACCTCAAGCATGAGAGAAAATGAGAACAAAAATAATCCAGAAAATCACCTGGGATTCCTTTGAGCGGAGAGTAGGCTTGGGCGGTATCCATACTGTCTAACTTCCTCTTAATTTTACCACGGTATACGGTATTACTGTGAATACTTAAAAAGTATGACGTAAGCCTCAAGTGGACCTTCACCTTTCTGAATCCAAATACCAAACACGCACTAAAAAGTAACCGCGTAACTCACATACTATTAACAACATTTATTAACGCAAAAAAAAAAACAAAAAAAAAAACGCAGCTTATAAACAAGTGCAAAGAACAAATCAACCATCTTAGCCTGGTGGGGGGAGGAAACCCTGTCAAGATCGTCAACACTCGTTTATCTTAACGCTATTGAAACATGTAAACCAAAAAGCTTCATATCCACTGCTACCTTTCTGATTTTAAACTCAGTAACTTATGCTGTAACTGCACCTTGCCCTGCCTGCTCCTCCTTGCTGCCCGCCGGCTGCGATCACAAGCGACAACATAGTAGTTCCCGCTGCTTCTTTGGGAAACAGCGCAAAAAACTAAATAAATAAAAGCTTAGGATCTTGTAGGCGTGGCGGTGGGATTTCAGCCGTGGCGGGCCGCCACGGCTACGCCTATGTAAGGGAAACCCTGTGGTGGTCTTCACACTAGATGCTAAAGGGCTCAGATTCACAGCATCACGTGGGCGTGTAGACATGCCACGGCTAAGTACAATTACTTCAGTCATGGCGTCATTCAGATGTAAAAAGTTTGTAGCCATCCAGGAGCGCACATCCTCTAAGGCATCTACAAGCTTTGATATTGATCCATCGACCCCCCGCTGAAGGGGGAGGTAGATCTGACAATCGTCAGCGTAAAAATGAATAAGCATGCCAAACCACCGAAGAAGATTCCCCAGTGGTATTTGGTAGATGTCAAAAAGAAGCGTACCCAGTACAAGACCCCTGTAGCACAGCCCACTTGAGTCCCACCCAGGGCTAGGAGGTTTCACCTACACTGACCCAAAAACTCCTGTCGGATAAGTAGGAGCGTAGCTATTGTAGGGCTGCACCAGTAATTCCCGCCCAATGTTGTAGCTGGTCCAAAAGAATGTCTTGATCGACCGTATCAAAGGCCGCAGACAGATCTAACATCAAAAGAATGACAGCCGTTAACCCTAAACTCTTTAACGGGTAGCTGGGCTAAGAGAAGATCCTGTCCTGCTAGACGAAAGCACTCACTGAATCTTGCCACCTTAGCGGGATTTAAGGCATGACTGCGCCTCTCAGGAAGAGAAGCTGGGATCTGCCGAGACGGAACACAAAAATTACATAAAATCGGAGAGTGGTCTGAGAAAACAGGCCTCAACGTGTCCACAGTGATGGACTGAAGACCAGAGGAAAGAACTAGGTCAAGAGAGTGTCCCTTCACATGTGAAGAACCCTGAACCCACTGTGAGAGATTCAGGGAACTTAACAGGTGCAAAAAAAATCCTTGACAATCTGCTTATCAGGGCAACAAATATGGATGTTACAATCTCCTACAATCAAAATCTGATCATATGTATTTTTGTATAACTTCATTTTTATTGACATTTTTGAAATTTAATAACAACACAAAGCAATTAGGAACAAAATATTTGGGGCATTATTACGACATAAATTAAGATCTCAATTATTTGTTGAAGTGAACGATGTCCATTTCTCCCATTTTTCCTGGCATTGTTCTTCCTGTGTCCGGAGTCTGTAGGTTAAGTTCTCCATTTATATTATTATTAATATTGAGTTTCCAACTTCTAGCCATTCTTTATGTGTTTGCGGTTCAGGTTGGTGCCTTCTTCTGGTAATGACCTTTTTACAGGCTGCCAAAAAAATCCTCAGCAAATATTTATCCTCTTTGAATCCAACATTTCCTGGAACATATCCTAAATACAAAGTCAAACCATTCATAGGTATAGTGTAGCCTAAAACTTTTACAGTGCTCTTATAAATATCCTCCCAAAATTGCACTATGTTGGGGCAAAGCCAGAAAACATGCAGGTGGTCGACATTAATTGCACCACTCTCTCCAACATGGAAGAACTCTGGATTTGTATTTACAAATGATTTTTGGGTGATTGAAAAACGTTTTATGTTTTTCTAGCAATGCTCTCTCCATGCTCTCGAGGCAGTGGTAGAATGTTGTGTTCTCCAGATATTCACCCATTCATCATCTGACACTGTTATTCCCAGCTCCTTTTCCCATTTTGCTTCTATATCCAGTGTCGTATGCCCTTTTTTTCTATTAGGTATTTATATAAAGTGGAAATATTTCTATACTTCTTCCCATTATAGACCCCAATTAAAGTTTAACTATTCCATTATTTACATCCATATTGTCTTTCATTTCTTTATTATACAAGTCCCTAAGTTGCAAATATCTGTAATAGTCCTGATTTATAAATCAAATTCTTGTTTTAGTTCCTCAAAACTTTTAAAGAGGCTGACTCTGATTATGAAGCAGAATATTGACTCTGATGAAGAAATTCACTCATCCAGCCCGGAAGGTTGACGCTGCTGCAGCATCAGACAGCTGGTGCTGCACGAGAGGTGTGTGGAGTTTACGAGCTCCAAACGTTGGGTTTGATGTTGGTTTAACCTTCTCTGGGACGTGATGGATGTAGAAATGATGGTAAACACAGCTAACGTGACAGACGTAGCGACAAGGTAAAAAAGGCCGTAAAAAAGAGGCAGATGCCGATGCGTTAAATATGGAAGTCAAAGTGTGCCACATAATCATAAAAAAGTAAAATATAAAATTTAAAAACAGCTTTATATATTTATATATAAATTCAAACTTTCCAAATATAATGAAAATTTATAAGTAACGTAAAAATACGAAGGAACATCTGTTGGTCAGGCTGAAAAGTTTGGGAACCACTGCTCTAAGTGATAAGTGAATAGGGTTGGGCATCGATTGGAACCGGTTCCAACTGTTTGTTTTTCCCGGAATCGTTCAGTTTTTTATTTTATTCCTAGTTTCGATTCCTAGAACGCCATCGGAAGAGGAATCCGCGGCCGGTCTCCGTGAAAAATAAAAGTGATCTGCAAATTGTGATCAACGCTTTTCAGAGCTGATCACACCAGCTGTCTGTGTGCAGCACCGCCCCCTCCCCCACCCAGATATAAACAAACACGTCTGCTGAACTTTTACTCCGTAATGTAAACGTTAACTCCTGCAGCGTAGAGGAAACGTGTTAAATACGTCAACACGGTGGATTTAATAGAAGCTTTAAAGAACAAACTCTGGACGGTGTGAGGTGAGTTTGTCTCACTGCAGAAATAACAACACACACGGAGCGTCAGCAGTCACCAACACTCTGTGTGTGTGTGTGTGTGTGTGTGTGTGTGTGTGTGTGTGTGTGTGTGTGTGTGAGCGTCAGCAGGCTGAACAGTAACCTGTAGAATAATTAAAGTCTTCATGCTAGAGCAGCTTCTCTGTGGTGGACCACACCAGCTTCTGCCACCATAAATAATTATAATAATAATAATAATAATAATAATAATAATAATAATAATTAACATTTTAATTTCCTTTCTGAACTGTTTCTGTTGAGTTTTAATGTTTAAACCTGTTAGCTTGTTACTGACAGCAGCTACGGTTAAGTCTCACTTCCTGTTGTGACTGAAGCTGCTGCAGCATGGAGGTGTAGTTCTCAGTCATCCTGGACATGATCATCCTGAGAGTTGTAGCTGAAGACAGCTGGACGTTTCTGGATATGTTGGAGACATTTAGCCTCTCATCCCAGAGGCTGCTTCCACACTTTGGTTGTGGTCAGAAACAAACACACTGGTTGTGCTGCAAGTCGTCTTCTTTTGTCTCCAAAACATGTTTGTGTCTACATGAAGGTGATGTTGTTGTTCATAGAGTTAAAATTCATGTTGAAGTTAAGATTAGTTCATCCAGTAGGACCTGTGGTTAGCTGGCTCATGTAAAGCATGTCATGTCTTCAAAGAATCGGAATCGGGAATCGATAGGAACCGGAATTGAAACGAGGAATTGGAATCGTTCAAAATCAAACGATGGCCAACCCTATAAGTGAATATTGTTCTTTAAATATATTTTATGTGCAGTTTTTTAGGGCTTTTATGTTTTCTGTAAAGATTGGTATGCTGAAAATCATTTAATGTTTTGCATAAAGCATGAGGTTTTGGTTCGTAATTGACTGGGAGAATAACAAGTGACTGACTTGGAAAGTGTTGATCAGGCAGAGCTTTGTTGGCAGCGTTCCATTGCACAATGGCTTCAAACACAGATATAATAGTGTTAGTTTTTTTGTAAACCGTTGGATGAAATTACACAAACTGACTGAGCTCTAGTTGAGGCTCTTGCAATTGCTTGTGTATGTGTACGTGCGTGTGTTTGTGTGTATGTGTTTGGTGGAGGGTACATTGGAACTTTGTCCCCCCAGTTTGAAAATCCTGTCTGCGCCCCTGAGTGGGAGGGTTAAAAATGTATAATTTCAAGTTGAGAGGAATATTTAGAATTGATGTTGGGTAAAAATATTAATGTAAATAGGACATGTTTGTTTACTGGAAACACAGGATTTGATAGTAAACAAGTAAAAGTATCACACATCGGGGCTTTAAACCAGCCATGACTGGTGGAAAGTCCTATTCAATAGCTCCTCTGATCTTAGTTGTTTCCAGTCCTCCAAGGAAGCTCTGAAGGAACAATTCAAATCTACCAACGAAACCAAAATGTAACATTAAACACTAGGTTCACTTTGTCACCAGAGAAAAACACACACTACTGGTGTACACTACAAATATCAGAGGCTCTTCAGCCACACCCAAGGTCAGGTTTCTGTTTTACTTGTTCCAGCTTACAAACCAGTATCAAGACCCAGACTGAACCAAAGTTGTTCACAGTCCAGTCTGAAGAGGCATCTTCCTTTCAGAGATGCTGCCATGATATTCATATTTATATGAACTGTCTGCCATTGGCTGCACATTTTCCTCTTCTAGGGCTTGTTGCTTCAGGGTTCTCAGAAGCAAAATAATTAACAACTGGTTGCATCAAAAAATATACATTTCTGAAGAAAGATGAAATTCTGCTTCACAATGTTTAAGCATCCCGTCCCTGGGCTGCCACCGTACCGTGGTGGAGGGGTTTGAGGGTCCCAATAAAGGAGCGAAGTTGTCTGCCTCTAGTAAAGTCACCCATGGCAAACTGGTCCTAGGTGAGGGATCAGACAGAGAGCAGCCCAAAGACTCCTTATGAAGAAAAACATCAATGGAAACTGAGGTTGTCACGGTGTGAAAATGTAACCTCACGGTTATTGTGACCAACATTATCACAGTTTTCGTTATTATCGTGGTATTTTTTCAAACATGTTAGATTTTCAGACAACTAAATAAACCCTGTATATCAGGAAAATATTGTCCTCAGTTTGTGTCTAAATTTTGCCTAAAATGTGTTATTTTGTAAATATGTTGTTTATTTGTTTACATTTTTTCCCTTTAGTCTTTCAAATACCAATATTTGCCCATAACTTCTTATTTTATGTCTGTTTGATGTCATCATTTAAAAGTATTAGACCAGATGATACTCAGTACTCAAGTAGCCTTCTAATCAGATACTTTTTTACCCTTACTTGAGTAATAAACCTTATATCAGGAAAATATCGTCCTCGGTTTGTGTCCTTCCAGTGAGCTTTGCAGATGTGGGAAAATGCCATCAGGCAGTAATCGTTGTTAAATTCATAATTATTCTCGGAGAGAGACCAACTCTTATCTGCCCCTGGGAGCCCCGTAATGCATAGCGTCATTTCAACATGGGGGTGTCCGCGACACGGTTTATATGCAGGTAGCGGCGCTGCGGCTGCTTTATAGAGCGACTCGTTGCATTCTCCCTCAACCCAAATCCTCGGATCACGCATTTTAGCTAAAACGCTAACATTAGCTTGCCTTGCGTTGACTGTAGAGTTGTGGGTGATGGTCACGCAGATGTGTCATGAGATTTGAAGCGTTGCTGCCTTTCACAGACACTTTTTCTGCTCGTGCTGCAAACAGGATAGCCGTCTTCTATCAGCTGTCCCTCGGCATTCTTCAAATATCCAAAAGATGCCCGTACTTCCCACTTTGTCTTCTTTGAGGGATAATAAATGTCCTGAGCGCTGCCGTCTCCTCCTTTGGCCATTATTTCAGCTTTAGCTTCAAGAAAGTTTTGGTTGTAAACAACAAAGTGCGCATGTGCCGCCGGCAACTTCAGCAGATGATACGGTGGCTGGTAAGGGTCACCGCGCGTACACCGCAGCCACGGTAAACCACCGAGATAATATAGTTTTTTTAAAAACAAGACGGTTATTATTATTGTCAACTTTTTTACCGGGGTTTACTGCTACACCGGTTACCATGACAACCCTAATGGAAACAGCGTTCCCTTGTCCGGATACGGGTCACCAGGTCCCCCTCTGGAGTCAGGCCTGAAGGTGGGGCACATTGGTGAGCACCTGACGGACAGGCCATGGAGCCTGAAGACGAAATGTTGGTCCCCCATCCCATAGGCTCACCCCTCGTAGGAAGGGCCAAAGGGGTTGGGCGCAGTGTGTGACGGGTGGTAGTCGAGGGCAGGGACCTTGGCGGTCTGATCCTCGGCTAGAGAAGCTGGCTTTTGGAACTTAGAATGTCACCTTTCTGGTAGAGAAAGAGCCAGAGTTGCTCTGTGAGGTTGAAAGGTTCCAACTAGATATGGTTGGACTCACCTCAACACACGGCTCTGGCTCCGGAACCAGTTGCACCCACTGAGAGTTGCCGATCAGGGGTGGGCATACCAGTTGCCCCCATCTTGGTGCTTGTACGTTGGGGTTTACCCCAGTGAACGAGAGGGTAGCCTCCCTCTGCCTATGTGTGGGGGGATGGGTCCTGACTGTGGTTTGTGCTTATGCACCAAACTACAGTTCAGACTACCCACCCTTTTTGGAGACCTTGGAGGGGGGCTTCCAGTGACTCCCTCATTCTGCTGGGGGATTTTAGCGCCCACGTGGGCAACTACAGTGAGACCTGGAGAGGTGTGGTTGGGAGGAACGACACCCCTGATCTGAATCTTCGTCTTCGTCTTCGTCTTCCTCCGCTTATCCGGGTCCGGGTCGCGGGGGCAGCATCCCATTTAGGGAGCTCCAGGCCGTCCTCTCCCCGGCCTTGTCCACCAGCTCCTCCAGCAGGACCCCAAGGCGTTCCCGGACCAGATTGGAGATGTAACCTCTCCAACGTCCTGATCTGAATCTGAGCCGTGTTTTGTTATTGGACTTCTGTGCTTGTCATGAATTATCCATAATGAACTCCATGTTCAGACATAAAGATGTCCACATTTGCTCTTGGCACCAGGATACCTTAGGTCGCAGCTCGATGATCGGATTTGTCATCGTTTCGTCTGATCTGCGGCCGCGTGTCTTGGTATGATAACTATATATAATACCTGTACTGCTTATACTATGAGATTAATGCACATAGTATATTTAATTTAAGACATTTAACTGTGTGTGTGTGTGTGTGTGTGTGTGTGTGTGTGTGTGTGTGTGTTTGTGTTGTATGTGTTTGTGCATGTGGTTCACGTGCAAACAAAGTAGAATTTTTTTGATTTAATCACAAAATAGAAAATGTTCTTCCGTTCTATCAACAGAAGAGACGAAGCATGTGTAAATGCATTAAGACTGTTTTTGTTACCTGTTGGGTTTTGGCGAGGCGTGCTGGTGGCAGCAGGAGTATCCGGGATGCAGTCCAGTCTGTTTCTAAATAAACAAACACGATTTGGAACAGAGAAGATGCTGAAATCAAGCAAGGGGGGAGTTCACCAAGCGCAGACGTCACGTAAGTCCACAGGAACCACAGAAAGTCCCAGCCTCAGAGTAGGAGCTAAAATGGTTCTAGGAACTACGGGAAAAGGTTCCTAGTTCCCATCTTTCCGAATGCGCGCAAAAGGGGGCTGGTTCCTGAAAAGGTTCTAGGAACTACAAAGGGTTCCTACAGTCCGAATGCACCTAATAATCTTCATCGATAGAGCACTCAGCACGCCACAAGATTCATTCAAACTTTCTGAGAAGAAACAGCTAGCAGGGTGAATAAAGGCACAACTAACTCGTGCATCTAGATGTGTTGGGGAACTTCTAAACACTAACCAACCTTACCTTGTCTCTAACTTGCAGCCCGGAGTGAGGGTAAAGTGTTGCACTTCAGGATCCAGCGCTCGGTTATCGGTGCATACTTGGTCACGGATAAGATCTCCTTTGCTACACTGGGTGAGCTGATCTCCTACTACCAGAAAAATCCCCGCACCCTGGGAGTGACTTTGTTGGAACCCTGCGTCCAGCAGGTAGGGCACTAAAGCTTTTACTGCATTTTATTTCTTTACAAAGAATACAAACCCTCTAGAAACTGTGAAGCTAATTATGGCAAATGGCCTGTATGTGATATAACTCCTTCTAGGGTTCCACAATCCTCCAATGCACTTTAAACACATTCACTTGCTGGTGGCGATGAGCCACATCCAGTGACTTGTGGTGAGGTTCATGGCTGGGGAGGCACTGACTGCTCTGGAGACAGACATACAAATATACAATCCTGTAATAGAAGCTTGTATTTTATTTTGACCTTGAATTAATTTTGTTGTTTTAAATCTTTTTAATTATGATTTAAACAATTTCATACAATTTTACCAATACATTATGAAAAGAAGTCAAATAATATTTGGGCAAATTTCACTTAAAAATGTATAAATTTTTCTTGGCATAGCTTTTATTACAGTTAAAAATTGTGTATGATGTTACCTTTATGTGCTTATGCGTTCTTACGCCTGACATCTCCACAATCACCCTGCTGTAAAAATCATCTTCTAATATCTCCTGTTCTGACTGAAAATCCAGTAGGGCTGCAACAAACGATTATTTTCATAATCGATTAATCTGTCGATTATTTTTTCGATTAATCAGTTTGTTATTGTTTAGCTATTTAACCTATTCAAGTGATGAATACATTTCAGTTAAGAAAAAGAAAAACATAAGAGAATTGTGCAGTTGACTGCAATCTATTTTATTGCACATGAACACAGTCAGCGGTGTAAAATGAGCTAAACAGTGCAAAATATCAGTCCTGAATAATTTTTTGGCATCAAAATATGAGAGGTAAATTCCATAAAAAATAATGTAGAATCTAGAATAGAGTTTGTAAGTGGTATGCATTGCTGGGGGTGAGTGTCTTGTTCCCCATGTAGTTGTCCATCGCTTTTTTCTGCATAAGAAACACAAATAGACTGAAATAAGTACACATATAAAATAAAGCAGCACACACACTACAACACTCAATATTACATTATTTGAATTAATTAACAATATACAGTGATCATTTATTTTGACAAAAATGTGTTGTGAGGCGTTTTAAAGCATTAGACAGTAAAACAGCCTTTTAATAGTAAAAAAAAGGACTTTCTGAATTTCTCCTGTATTTAAAAATTGAAAGCGTACAACTATGCCGCGTTATATTCACCTGGACACAGCTCGTCTGTATATTTTTCTCCGCGGAGTTGTCCTTTTTTGAATGAGGAACATAGTTATGGGTTTGTGCCGTTTTTCTCTTAACGAGAACATTCTTATAAACAGATGTGCTAAATTTGGCAAGTGCATGATACACAACACGGAGGAGATTCACGATTGCATCTAGTCAATCAGAAGTAGAACACCGTAGACTGACGCGGCAAAAAAACATGTTTAACATCCACTATAACGAACTCAGCTCCCAAATTTGATCTGCGTTAGCTTGTTTATTTTCTGTTACTTACCGGATTTACCGGACTTTCCTCTGCTGCATCAGCCCCCACATGTTTTCGTCTCAAATGTTCACTTTGGGACGTCGTGCTTCCGTGCCATGCTAGATGGTTTTTGCATATTTTGCAGGTCACCCATCTTTTCAAGGCATCTAGAGTGAAGTGCTCCCATACTCGTGAGGTTTTTGTCCGGGATTTCTCTTCAGTTTTGTCGCTTCTATTTTTCTTCCGTATTTCTTCTTGTTCTGCCATCTCTCACAGCAAGATGAGCGTCAGTAACGTGTTACGTCATGAAAACCGAGGGCACTTATTGGCTCATTTCTTCTTCTACGGCTCCACTGGTAGATCAGTGGCTCATTACTGCCACACACTGGCGGCAAATTTAACAGATTGTAACCGATGTCAGACTGTGGTAAAAAATAGACTTTATGCAGTAAAATATGATTATTAAACAACTAATCGATGACTAAAAAGTTGTTAACTATTTTAATAATCGATTATAATCGATTAAATCGATTAGTTGTTTCAGCTCTACACCGGACCCTTCATGATCCTCCTGTGGGTGGTGGGTCCACAGTTGGATGAGCCCATGTATCCGGTTCGGGCTGGACCCGGCTGGGCCCCATGGGCGAAAGCCCTGCCACCAGGCGCTCGCTCACGGGCCCAAACCCCAGGCCTGGCTCCAGGGTGTGGCCCCGGTAACCCTCCGGGCCGGGTACTCTGACTCTTTGAACTTACATCCATGAAAGGTCCTTTGAAACGTTCTTAGTCTCACCCTTCACCTAAGACCAATTTGTCATGGGAGACCCTACCAGGGGCACAAAGTGCCCAGACAACATAGCTCCTAGGATCATTAGGGCACTCAAACTCCTCCACCACGATCAGGTGACGGTTCAAGGAGGAGCCAACCAGTACTTGAAATAACATAACAACTGACATAGTAACAAAAGGAGCCCAAACTCAGGACCTGACTACAGACATGTACAAAAAAACCTCTCTACATACACAACAGGATCAACTTAAATAGTGGCTGATCAGACCACTGCCAACACACTAGGGTGGGGAGACATCAGTTAACAAAGAACATAAATAAACTACTCCTAACAAATTCATACTAATCAGTCCATTATGTTTGAGTTACTTAAAATGAATACATATTACTATCAAAACCCAACTACTATTTACAAAAGAGAATAACTATACACAAACACAGGAATCTCTTCTCCCTTGAGAGTTGGTATGAGCCAATAGTGCTGATCAGGCCAAGTAAAGCGATCTGCTACAGCTGCTCCAACTCCAAGGCCACTGGCAACTCAAGTAAAACTTATTAAACAATCATATAAACACCTATAGACTAAAACCGATAAGTAACTGAATGTGTGCACTACATACTGTCACCTACACAGTCAATCCATAGAAACAAAACACTCACTTATTCAAAATAAACGAAACATTACCAGACAGCCATTCACTTGAGGTGTGACAGCAGGGCAGCTGTCACAGGCCACGTCACTACTATATTACTGTATATGCGTGTATTTGTGTGTGTGTGTGTGTGTGTGTGTAAGGACAAGGCGACAAATTGAAAATTTTAAACTTATTTTTCTTCATACTGTAAATGGCACATGCTGTGAAGAGTGGGTAAAATCATGGTTCACAGAGCGGTTTGGGTTTTTGCTTTATGCAGGACAAAGATTTCACCACAATCAAATGTAAAATGAATTAAACTCTTATCAGGTGTGTAAATGATGCGTTGTCTTTGTGCAGCGAGAGCTGTTTGATATGGAGTCTTGGGAGAGGCCAAGGGAGGAGTTCAAACTTCACAAAAAACTGGGAGAAGGACACTTTGGAGAAGTGTGGGAGGCTATCTGGACCAAAGAAAACCGAAAAGTGGCCATAAAGACACTGAAACAAGGTAAATACGAAGCTGTTGTAACACTTTGCTGTTGGTTGCTAGAAAAATGTTCATCATGTTGAATCTGTTTTTTGGGAGTGCTGCGTTAGCTAAAGACAAAATGCCTTTATTCTAACCAGTGAATGTGGGCACAAATAAGTGCCAGTACTCCCTCACAATGTATTGGACCATGCGGAAACTCGGATCAACATCCAATCCGAACGAGGGGGGTGCATAAAAGCACTGATTGTCCCTGAACACACATACAGTGCTCAGCACAAAGGAGTAAACCCCACTACATGTGTTAGAAAACCTTTAGTTTCCTTTCAGAATCAACATTTTCTTAGGTCCCATCCTACAAAATACTCCCACTAATGTGGGCCATTGATTGCAAACAAGACGTGTTAATTTGCACACACAAAAAAGTGATTTTTACTAACAAATTAATTCAAGCCCATATTGCAAAAATGAGTACACCCCAATTATAGTCTTAGGAGAAAAGCCACACTTACTTTACGTTTTTATTTGGCAGACCACTTAAGACTACTAAAGTCTAACTTAACAGGCATTCAACCACAGTTGAACCCTAACCCTAACCCACATTTAAGAGGTGTCCAGCAGACAACTGACTCTAAAAGGGCATTACTTTACAAAGAAAACTCATCTCATAAATGCTGTCAGGAATTCAGTTAGTTTATTTATAAAGCGCCAAATCATGACAAGAGTCATCTCAAGTAAACATTCCAGTACAGTTAACTTCATTAACCAATCAGTAAAAGGTTTCCTATATAAGGAACCCAGCAGGTTGCATCGAGTCACTGACTAGTGTCAGAGTCTTTACAGCAATCCTCATACTAAGCAAGCATGCAGCGACAGTGGAGAGGAAAACTCCCTTTTAACAGGAAGAAACCTCCAGACGATCCTGGCTGAGTATAAGCAGCCATCCTCCACGACTCAGCAATGCCTCCACATGAAAAAGAATTGTCACGACATTTGAGAAAGAAAATAATTTATTTACACAAAAAAGGTGAGGGTTACAAGATCAGCAAAGCTTTACACATCAGTCAGAATACTGTAGCAAAAGCGATTCCAAAATTTTAAGGAAGATGGAAGTGCAACCATCTTACAGAGACATCCAGGCCATCCATTTAAGTTGATGTGTCGACAGGAGTGTTTTCTTTTGAGAAGGGTTAAATGAAACCACCATGCAAGTTCGCTGCAGTTAGCTAAAGCAGTAGAAAGCTAAACTGGGGTGACCGTTTCCCTTGACACCATACGGCACACACTGCAGAGGATTGGCATGCATGGGTATCGTCCACAAAGGAACCCTCTCCTAAAGCCCACGCACAATAAAGCACACCTAGGATTTGCTAGGGCCCGTGCTGTTGGAGATTAAGACTTCTGGGACTCTAGACTCTGGAGTGATGAGACAAAGATCTCTTTTTATGGATCTAATGGTTTCTAAACTGTATGCCGTCTTAAAGGTGAGGATATAAAAGAGAAAAGCATGGTTCCTATAGTGAAACACGGTGGTGGCGGTGTCCTTATGTGGGGCTGCATGAGTGCTGCTGGTGTTGGAGAGCTGTATTTCATTGATGGTATCATGAACTCAACAATGTCCTGCTCTATACTGAAGGACGAGATGCTGCCATCACTCCGTGCACGTGGTCGTCGTGCACTTTTCCAACACGACTGTGAGGGACGGAGACAGTTAGGCAGGAGGACACGCTGATGATTTAAAAAAAGATTTATTTCCCAAGAATTCCCAAAACAAGTTTACTTTATACATGGGCCCATTAAAAGAGGTCAAATGAAAAAACACCTCACCTCAAACCATAACGGTGCTTAAACATAACAACATACCTGGCTAACAGCTTAAACAAGCAAACTGACCTGACAGACGACTAAGGGAGCTTAAATACTGGCCGATCAGACCAAGCTGACACAAACGAGGGAACTCTCATCTACCCAATTAACAAAAAGACTAAACACAATTTAAGAGTTTATGTTTATTTATTTGGCAGACGCTTTTATCCAAAGCGACTTACAATTTATAACCTACAGGGCATGTTGTGATCTGTGGGGGAAACCGGAGTACCCGGAGGAAACCCACGCATGCATGGGGAGAACACGCAACTCCACGCAGAAAGGCCGCAGCCGAGTTTCGAACCTGCGAGGCAACAGTGCTAACCACTGTGCCACCATGCAGCCCAATTTCTGATGAAACATGTATAATCATGACCTGAGAATAATCACACAAAATGAGAGGTGAACGATGGAAAATAATACATAGTCTAGTAAAGTACAACAGAGTACAACTATTCTGTTATAGTGTATAAATACTGACCGTACCATGAATTCATCAAACATCATGGCCTTTTCGCACGCCCACCACCGGCAATGCAGACTGCCCAGGTATCGGTGCTGCCTGACAAGTAGATGCACGCATATCCAGACAGAAATGGTCACAAGGCTGCTTCCCATGATAAATGCTTGCAGCAGATAGCCATTTGGAGAGATTCTTGGATCTGTGCCACATGTCAAAACTGTGCAAGACTCCTGGGAACTGTCCTTTGTCTGGGTGGAAAAAAACCGTTAGCACCACTGACATACTGATAGAGCATCATATTGCCACTTTTCCACTGGCAACAGTGCTTTTTTACCCATGAGAGATGAGGTCTGTGTAGATCTGAGCTCTGTTATAAGCTGAGTGATAACAGAGTTCCTCTGTGTTAGCCGCTTGTCACCCGTGACAACAGAAATGATGTTCCTGGTCTCTTTCTCCATGACTGTATATGTGCAGTACTGTGCACCGTAGCCAGGACCATCCACCCATCAGCTGAAGATGCATTTGAGAAGTTTAGAATGAAGCAAATGACAACAAATATCTCAAGGATATTCAATCAAACACAACTGGACTTCTTGGGTAATAGATCAGACATATTCAAAGATGTTTCATCAGTTCATTTTCAAGATCAGGCTTGACGTAGTTTCGAGTTAAAAAATGCACATGTTAAAAGTCTGTGCTGTGAAAAGTGATTTTAGGGGGTTCGATGGTGTCTAATGCTGCAGCCGTCCTACATATGCATGAATGGATGGGTATTAAACACTTCATTTAGTTTAAGGTGCTGGAACGGTTTTCTCATTCAGGGATGATCGAATGGAAACATGTAGCTTCCCCTGGTTGCAGTTTACTCATCTAAACATTGTCATTAACCACAGCTTGTGCTGAAGTTGTAGTCATTAATCATAGTTTCTTGTACTAGCTTTGTCTCACTGTTTCCAGTTTATCAATTAGAATGAATAATGAACGGACTGTGTTATTATTCAAATATGTAACAGAAAACTGTGACTGATTACCTACCGTACGCAAAGACCTGCGACAAAGTCCTCATCTGAACTGTCATCAGGAGCAGTCAGCCTCATCAAATCCACCTTCTGACCAGTCAGTGCTTTCAGAGCAAAGTAGATATAAGCTAAATGACGAGCAGAATAACTATGAAATTTATAAAAAAAATAAAATAAAACTTTGCCAAAGTTCCTTAAGTCATTGTCCTCCTCAATAGAAACACTAGCTTGGACTAGCTAGCTTTATAATAGCCACTCACCGCAGTGGTGAAAGACAGCCAGCAACACAGCACAGAGCAGGAGGATTAGGCCGCCTCCGTTTCTCCCGGTAACTGGGTGTGGAGGTAGATGGGCCATAATCCGTATTCTCATATCTAGGATCAACATCACATAATCAACACAAGTATTGCAAAGCAGTGAGCGGTAACATTAGCTGTTAGCGACTAAGTTAGCTGACCTATTAATGAGAAAATCAGTCATTTATGCATTGGTTTTGATGCCGTGAAAAGATTTTATTTGGGTCCATCCGTCATCGGCTTCACTCGGGTTTTGGTTCTTTTTTGGTCGCTCCTCTTCTGTGAAGGATAACAAGATCTTCTGAACTCAGAAGCAGCTGTCTGACTAGCAGCGTCAGCCATTTTCCACAGATCCAGCCTCGCCTCTCTGTGCCAAGCGGACTATTTGGCAATCTCCGATGGTGCCCTCTATTTGCTGGTCTATGTAAACATAACCTCAGTGTCATGCCCGTCAAAATAAAATTGATTATTTAATTTTTTATATAAAACTTTTTAAGAAAATAGTGTAAATCCAATTCCACACACCTCTAAACGCCCTGTGGAAATGTTTTTGTTTTTTAAATATTGCTTTTTATTAAAATGTTCCATATTGAACCTTTAACATTGACCTTTGGGGAAATTCAGTCACACCTTCTCAAAGCCGGAATTAAATGGCTTCTCTTCCTTTTCTTTCAGAGGACACCAAGCAAGATGAGTTTGTGAAGGAGGTTCAGGCCCTGAAAAGCCTCCACCACCCAAAGCTAATCCAGCTGCTGGCCATGTGCTCCAGGGGAGAACCAGTATACATTGTGACTGAGCTAATGACCAAAGGGAGCCTCAAGTCCTATCTCAGCAGTGGGTGCTCACACACACACACACACACACACACACACACACACACACACACACACACACACACACACACACATGCACGCATACACACACACACACACACACACACACACACACACATACACATGCACGCGCGCACATACACACACACACACACACACACACACACACAGACACGCATACACACACACACACATACACACACACATACACACACACACACACACACACACACACACACACACATACACATGCACGCATACACACACACACACACACACACACACACACACACATACACACACACACACATACACACACACACACATACACACACACACGCATACACACACACACACATACACACACACATACACACACACACACACACACACACACACACACACACACACACACATGCACGCATACACACACACACACACACACACACACACACACACATACACATGCACGCGCGCACATACACACACACACACACACACACACACACACAGACACGCATACACACACACACACATACACACACACATACACACACACACACACACACACACACACATGCACGCATACACACACACACACACACACACACACACACACACACACATACACGCATACACACACACACACACACACATACACACACACATACACATGCACGCGCGCACATACACACACACACACACACAGACACGCATACACACACACACACACACACACACACACACACACACACACACACACACACACACACACACATACACACACACACACACACATACACACATACACACACACATACACACACACACACACACACACACACACACACACACGCATGCGCGCACACACACTTTTTTAAATAGCCCCTCTCAAGATGAAAATCACAAGGCGCTTCTCAAGAACAACATTTTTTAAATATGACAAAGATAAAAAAAATCCAGATAAACAAATGTGGTTAAAAGGAGAATCAATCAATCAAAGCTTTATTTATAAAGCGCCTTCTGTGACCTTGTCAGGGAGCCCAAGGCGCTATACACAGTACGTAAGAAATGTAAATCACAATGAATAAATAGATAATAAAAGCAATTAAAATAGTGCAAAGAGGGTAAGACATTAAAGTAGAAACAAATGGATAAAACGAGGGATAAAGAGACCAATAAAAACAGGAAATAAAATCAACACAAAAGAGGGCCAACCTCAAACACCTTCAGGGAACGCCAAGTGGAAGAAGTGGGCTTTCAGGCGACTCTTAAAAACCGGCAGAGATGGGGACAGCCTAACAGAGGGTGACAACTGGTTCCAGAGTGACTGAGCTAGGACTGAGAAAACCCGGTCACCACGAGTCCAACACCTAGAATGAGGGTCAGCGAGCAGGCCTTGGTCAGAGGAGAGCAGAGCGCTTGATGAGGAATGCCTGTTCGGGAGTGTGGCCAAATGGGGGGGGGGGTGGGTGGGTGGGGGGGGACTCTGGATAACCTAGCCTTTTAGATGGAGGCATGTTGGAGGCAGGGCAAGGGAGAGCCGTCTTTACCGACTGTACACTCCACCTCCCTCTACTCCCCCACTTGTCCAGATTTAGGCTAACATCAGATTTTAACCATAGGCCCTATCAAATAAAAATGTTTTAAGCCTATTCTTAAAAGTAGACAAGGTGTCTGCCTCACGGACTAAAGCTGGGAGCTGGTTCCACAAGAGAGGAGCCTGATAGCTAAAAGATCTGCCTCCCATCCTATTTTTAGATATTCTGGGAACCACCAGTAAACCTGCAGTCTGGGAGCGAAGTGCTCGGTTAGGAACGTATGGAACAATCAGGTCACTGATGTATGATGGACCTTGATTATTAAGAGCTTTATATGTGAGAAGAAGGATCTTAAAATCTATTCTGAATTTAACAGGTAGCCAATGTAGGGAAGCTAAGACAGGAGAGATATGATCTCTCTTTTTAATTCTCATCAGAACTCTAGTGTTTGCGTGGAATGTTGTTGGTGAAAGTGTTTAATGTGCAAATAAAATTAGGAACAGGCAGGAGATTCCTCTAAAGGAGCTTAGGATGTGCTGAGAGGAAGCAGATAAAAGAGGAATAATAGATATCCCAGCACATAACCTTGAGGAACACCATCAGTGAGGGAGGTGGTAGAGGACTGAAACATCAAAACGGCCACAGAGAAGGAACGCTCAGACAGATAAGAGGAGAACAACTCCAGAGCAGTTCCTGATAGGCCTACCCATAACCTATTATTAACTCAAAATCTACCGAATTTTCCCGACTTAAGTTGCACTTTTTTCATAGTCTGGCTGGTCCTGCGACTTATACTCTGGAGCGACTTGTATACCAAATTATGTATACCGCGCTGCTGCGGACCGGCTCCGGACCAGGAATAAGCTCCTCTGCCCCGCCATCACCTGCTGGAGCCTGTGGCGAGCTGCTGCGGGCCGGGCGGCTCCGACCCAGGAATGAGCTCCCCTGTCCCGCTGGGAGGGTTTCAAACACCGCCATCACCTGCTGCAGCCTGTGGCGGGGTGCTGCGGGCGATCTCCCCGCCCGCCGGGTGGGTTTGAAACACAGCCATCACCTGCTGGAGACCGTGGTGCGCTGCTGCGCCCTGGTTGTTTATTCTGTTATTGTTACCGGTACTTGTCTTGCAATGTGAAATGCTTGGTCTCAGATTTTGTAAGAAAAATCATAAAATTTTCCCCCAAAATGCCACTTATAGTCCAGTGCGACTTATATATGTTTTTTTCTTCTTCATTATACATTTTATGGCTGGTGCGACTTATACTCCGGAAAATACGGTACCTTTCCGACCCCTTCACCATGTCCACATTTCATTCAATCTACATAGTCTAGTCTACTCATAGTCTCATAAGGTTACGTATTAAGTCTGTCCAAGTTGGCATAGTATCTGCTGTTGCATTATTGTGTATGTAGGCAATGTTTACTTATAATGAAAGCCAGTACCCAAAATACATGTTGTTAGGTGGTTTCAGTCTTTGAACTATGGTGTGTGTGTGTGTGTGTGTGTGTGTGTGTGTGTGTGTGTTTGTTTGCTTTCAGGCCCTGAAGGGATGGTGCTGACGTCAGCTCATCTCATATACATGGGCAGTCAGATTGCAGATGGTATGGGCTACTTGGAGGACAGAAACATTGTTCACAGAGACCTTGCTGCTAGGAACATTCTGGTGGGAGACCATCTTGTCTGTAAGGTGGCTGACTTTGGACTGGCTCGAATCATAAAGGTAAAATTGAGTTATTGATTTTACCAAGATTGTACATCAAATATGAGTTTTGATTTTTATTTTGTATTAAACATGTTTGTGTTAATTTCTTTGTAAAATACTGAAGCTTGAATCTAAAATTCAACATCACAACATGCCCTATAGGTTATAAATTGTAAGTTGCTTTGGATAAAAGCGTCTGCCAAATAAACATAAACATAAAATTAATTTGAATTACTGTCCGTTATCTCTGGTGGTTCCAAAAGCCTGGTTTACTCTGTACGCTTTTCGGCCATTTGAGGCAAATCTTTTTACAGCTGTGATAAAAATATCTAACGTGAGGGTACTTTGCAGGCCTGTGGCCATCCACCGAGATGTCATGATCAAATCTGGCCAACACTATTTATTGTCTATATCAGTTTATATAGAAACACTTCAAGCAGTGTCAGAAAAAATACAGCCGTGGTTTGCAGTCCATCAATGGAAATGCACCAAATCGAAAATGTATCGTTATCGAAATTTCTGACCCTTATCGAGATACTTTTTCCCATGTCAATAAATTTGATAATAAAAAATGAAAGATGTGTGTAGGTTGGCAACATTCATGCTCCTTTAAGAAGCTGTACCACCTTCAGTCACGTAAAAATGCAACTGAACATAATGCATGAGACAGCCCCATCTAGTGGACAACTTTTGTTTCTGCGCATACCTGTAGTTATCGTCCGCTTATCGTTATCGAGGTGAAATCCTCAATATATCGTGATATTGATTTTAGGCCGTATCGCCCAGCCCTACACCCAGGGCATGATGCAAAATACTAGTGACGAGTACAATGTCAAGCGTGTTCGTATCGACATCATATACTTGCAAGAACAAGTGAAGCCCTCCTGTTTGGATTCTGGTTTGGAGTTTAATAAAAGAAGTCTTAATGTTAGAGCTTTTATCTTTCATTAATCCTCTTGGGTTTCTGTTGGATTTTAGTGACGTATGTTTTCGATATTAGTGTGTGTAAAGTGGTTTGACTCACTTAAGTCCACTCTAGAGTCCTCACAGTATGACATGAAGCAGTTCTTTGCAGTAGGTGAAAAGCGCACAGTGTGTCCTGGGCTTAAGATCACAACTGGGATTGAATTAAAACCCATTTCATGTGTAGTATTTATGTAGGGGTTTAAGATGTTGAAATATGAGATACAGGCTTATTTTCTAGTTGCTTTAGGTTGTTTATATGAATAAAAACTAAATCTGCCATACTTATTAATAATAACATGTCTTTTCATTGTCATCAAGGTATTAGTCAAGAAAATTGTCATTTAGAAAAGGACCTTTTCTGATGTGTTTGCATATGTAATAAAGCTTGATGTGAATGTATGAACACTAGTAAATGGTCGGGACCTTTGGTTGAACGTCTCTAGGACCACGTTTACACAGCCAGTCGGAACACTAAGATTCCTATCCGATGGACTGCTCCTGAGGCTGCACTCCACCAGCGCTTCTCAGTCAAATCTGATGTCTGGTCGTTTGGGGTTCTGATCTATGAGATGATGTCACGTGGAAAAATGCCTTATGAAGGTAGGGAAAGCCTTTCTAAGTTCTCTGAAATGAAGCGTAAATAATTGTGATAATGATTATGATAACAATGGTGATCGTGATAACGATAATCTTGACGATGATGATGAGAATGGTGTTTGTGATGATGATGGAGGCAAAGTGATGATGGGTGTGAGTAATGAGTGTAATCCATATCTAGTGTATGCATATCCCTCCAAACATACGTAATTCCTGACTCCTTCATTCTAGCTTTCATATAGTTTGTGATATGTATCCTTGTCCTCCTTGTCCTCGTGTCCAGGTCAGGGTTCAATACCACACTGAAATCACACGTGTGGAAATCACCACATATTAAAGTCCCTCCATTTCTCTGGCTATGATATCAAACAGGGTTTCAAAAATGTCCTCTCACCGTCAGGAGGTGCATAAACATTTATTAGTGTGATCGTTTGTTCCTATCGATCAGTCGTTTGGTATGTTCTTGCTGTGTCTAATTTCTAATTTTTACCTTGCTGACGTTTCGTTTGCCGACTGCAAAACTTCCTCAGAGCTGACTCTGACGGTGGCATCTCTTCCTTCTCCGTTTATCCGCGGGCAGCAGAGGACGTTGTCGCCCTCTACTGCCCGCTCTCCCCTCTCCGACGATGCAGTCCCACGCATGATCCAACGTGTAAACTCCGTCGTCCCTGTTCATGGTCCCACATCCACGTCTCCTTATCTCGATAGCTTCTTTTATCCATCTTTTGTATTTTTGTTGTTTGGTGTTTATGATCCTTGTGTTGTCCCAGTCCATTACATGGTTTTCTCTTGTGCAGTGATCTGTTACGGCTGACTTCTTTATTGTACTTTCTGCTTCTTGTTTTGCTGCTCTTGTGTGTTTTCGACTTGTTTCTTTCTCGCACTCCTTTCTATGTTCTATTGTTCGTGTGTTGAGTTGGCGTCCGGGTTCTCCTATGTATGTTTTACTGCAGAGTTTGCATGGGATTTCATAAACGACTCCACATTTAAGTCCAGCTGGTATCTTGTCTTTTGGGTGTACTAGTCTGTTTCTAACTGTTGTGTATGACTTTGTTGGTGTGTTTATGTTGTTTTTTCATTGTTGCTCTTATTTTTTCTGTTATGCCTCTGATGTATGGTAGAGTTATCACTGCTTCTGGTTCTTGTCTTTCTGGGTTTCTGGTTCTTTGCTTTGGGTGTTCTTTTCTTTCTGTTGTTGTTTGTTTTCCTTTGTTTATTGCCCATGTCGGGTATGCGCAGGTCTTTAAAGCGTGTTGTATGTGTTTGTCCTCTTGTTTACGGTCTCTTTCTTCCGTTACCATGTTTGCTCGGTGATATAATGTTCTGATTACTGACATGTTGTGTATGGTGGGGTGTTCTGATGTCCATAATAGATACTGGTCTGTGTGTGTTGGTTTCATGTCCATAAAAGCTATGCTGCCTTCTGTTTCTGACTCATATGTGAACTTTATGCTGCCTGTGTCATCAATGTTATTCAAGTGTTGTGTTAGTGTTTCTGTTTGTCCTTTTGATATGATTTCCAGTATGTCGTCTACGTAGCGTTTCCATAATTCTATTTGCACTTATTAGCACAGTCCTAAAAACATGTTGAGGCTGAACATAAACAACAAAACTTAATTCTGTAGACCAGGACAACATTCATGTACCAGAATCTGCTTCTTGTATGAGTCTGTAAATAAGAACTGAACAAGATCTACTCGTCAGCTTTCAGCAAACATGATGGTAAAGTAACGGTTTAATAAGTAGCTTCTAGTGAAATTAGTGGATTGTGGATTAGTGATGAACTCAATCACTGTCGTCATTTGCGTCTTTTTTCTGTGTGGGTGTCAGACGAGCCCCCGCACCCTGAGAACAACCATCTCAGGTCTAAAGCCGATCTTCGTCCGCGTACGTCACGTGATCAGGAAGCAGAACATCCATGTGTTAGGAGATCGTTTTGGGCCGCTGCTGTAAAAAAAAGTGAGGCGAACCAGAAAAGCTTCTGCCGATCACAATTCAACAACGGATTATGAAAGAACGGATAACGCTCGAAACACGCGGATTCCTCCTGATGTAAGAGGCGAGTCTCCGCTTTGTTTTGGTTGTTTTGGTGTCGACGTCATCCTAGCGTGCAACGTTCTGTGAAAACTGAAAAATGCTGGCATGTAAATCGATCAGGAAAATGTGCCCTCAAAGCAGTTCTTTAAATTAAAATTATGAGACAAAGAATCCAACATTAAACATGGTTGTTACTACTGTAAACTAAAGCTTTTAATTTCTAAAAAGAAAATGCGTTTTAATTATTCAAATGACACTGTGTGATATGAAACAAAACCCAAACCAACTAAAATGTATAATTACTGTTAGGGATTTTATCAATATGTTTATCAATAAACCCATTTCCTGCAACTAGAGAGAGGGACAAGAAGCAATAAGGCAGATAAACAACCAAATCATGAATTGTGGCAAGTGCGCAGGGCAAATGCCCCGAACATCTGGTCTCAGAGTTTATACAACGAGATAAGAAAGGAATGGGAGTGGATCATGTGTGAGAGTGTGTGTGTGTGTATGGGAGGACAAGAGTGTGTGTGTGTGTGTGAATGCTTTCAGGACATTCAGTTAATAGATTTGTTAATAGGTTTAAAGTAATGAAATATAAAATTTCCATAACATATTTCCTCCTGTTTATCCGAATAGGATAACCATACAAAAAAACACACACAAATAACAAATAACATAATAATAGAACACAATAAGGCAAACACGAGTGACGATAACATCAAACAGCAGTTCACAAGATACAAGTGAGATAATGGGAATCAGTTAAATCAACACCATCATAAACTTAAGAAAAGCCATTCAAGTATCTTTGAATTGAATTGAATTCATACATATTTAAGTGAATTTGCTATGATGCAACAGTTCTATAAATTATAGCAGTCCCTGTAAAGAGATTGGGAAGGGTTAGCAAAACCATATAATATACAAAAAAACATCAGTAGAGTTTATTGAAACATCAGGTGAATTTAATTTAAAGCTTCAAGTTGCAGACAACTCTTTCTGTGAATGAGGGAAAATGAACGTGTAATATTAATTTATGCAGCTCTAACTATGGCAGAGCTGAGGCAAATCAATCGTTCTTCATCAAGGGCTTGTCTGTGAACTGGGAGTCTCGGTTGGAGAACAGTTTGGAAGTTCAGAGTCCTCTTCCGTTGATCAGGATGGTTTCAGTCTCACGTTGATGAGTACCTTGTAGTCCAGGTCCGGAGTGCAATAATGGAGTTGGTGATGTGGGGTTCAACTTCTCAATAGGAAGACGTCAGGGTCCTTCCTTGGCGTGTTGAGGTGGTTGTCCAATTGTCAGGGAGCTGATCTTGTCCTTCTGATCCTTTGACCGTGAAACCAGTTTGGAGATTGGGTGAAGGTGATTGAAGCAGTCATCCTTTTCCAGCATCTCTTCTTCGCTGTGTCCTGTCGTAGTTGCGTCCAGTTCAGCCGAGGTGGATGCAGGTCATGTTGTCATGTAGGTGTGCGGTCAGGGAGGAGCCCCAATCCGTCGTCTCAGTTCCAGTTCTAGTACCCCCTCAGATGCTGCTGTCCCAGTCGTTCCATCAGGTGCTGAGAGGCGGCCCAAGTGAAGGCCATGAGTGCGACCACCAACATCAACAATGTGGTGTAACCAATGATCTTGCAGCAGACCTCCATCTTCACCGGTTTTGAGACGTGGCACCCTAGTGGTGGCTCACCCTTTTGAAGCCGGACTTCGTTGTGCCTCTAAAAGCAGTTAGTTGACGTCGATGAGCTTTCAGTGGGATACATGAATCTAAGATGGCCTCTCCGCAATCTTCACAACAGTGGGAGTGATGAGGAGTACTTCGAATGGACCTTCTCTGGCGGCCTCAATTGGCTTGCTTCAGCACCTTCATCAGAACTCAATTTCCTGGTTTTCACGACCTGTGGGTGAAAAAGCACAAGGAAATTCTGGGAGACCACTGTTGATGTTGACTTGATTTTAGCAAAAATTCTTATCCAATATTCACTCTGGACTCTAGTTATTTCATCCACAGTTGTACTAACATGGGTTCTTTCAGCTCAAATTCAAGGACTCAAACATCCAGCCATAGTTTTGGGCGCTATACCGGTTCATACCAAAAACCGGTGTTTATTTTGGTTATGATATGAATTTTTCACATACCGCTATACCGGTGAAAGGCCTAGACAACGTACAGAACGTTCGTAGTAGGAAAGTGTTTCAGCGGGGACTCATTTCACTGCTACACACAACCACCACAGCGTGGTGAAACCAAGAACGACGGCTGGCAAGAGCTGTCACGGCGACATCGAAACTTCGAACGCAGAAGAACTCATTCCAAAAAGAGGAGCCACGTCTGTTGTTTGGAGGTTTTTCGGGTTTAAAAGTTCGGACGTGGAGCAAACAACTTTCATATGCAAATGCTGTCGAGCAACGGTGGTAGCCGGCGGGGGTAACACCAGCAACTTTCTTCATCACCTCAGCCGAAAACACGTCTTGGATTACCGAGAATGTCTCAAGCTTCGATCTGCACCCTCCACCTTCAAGGGTTAAACAGCTAGTAATATTATATTAGTTCTGCATTTAGCTACCTGTGACTGGACATGGAAAACTGGTGTTCTGCACATGAAGGTAAACTGGGCTATTTAAGGCCAATCTAGTGCAGTAATTATTTTCTTATAAAAATAATCTGGGTAATCACGGCCTTGTGAAAAATACCGGAAAACCGATTTAATAAAAAATAAACCGTGATATGAAAATTTTGCCATACCGCCCAGGTCTATCCAGCCATTACCTCATTCACAAATGTGTTCCATTTACTTATAACAGAGGCACACAGGCGAGTGCGTGTGTGTAGGAAAATTGTTATCAGCTGTCCCTCCTCTTGAGGCATGAGACATGCATGGCTCACCAGAAACAAAACAGGTCTGACACCGGCAAGCATTGCGTCAACCCGATGCAAAAGTTGGACCTCACATAACAAAGTTTCCTCCAAGTTCCAAGGAACTTGCAATTACCAGGTTAGACACAGAGGGTTTGGGGGGGGGGGGGGGGGCACTGTGTGGTGGCATCAGATGTTGTAGGCCAGATGACGCCTAAACTCTCTATTGGACGCTCCTATAGAGAAACCTTACATATACAAGCGTGTGTACACACACAGGTGCTCACATGGTGCTTTCATAAGTATGGACTTGGGCACGTTCAACACAGGTCTTAAGGCTGTGGTTGGCACTAAATGCACTGTGATTTATCATCGTGTGATTGTTCAGTAAAACTATGTAGATTATATATTTCTTCATCAGGTTGACGCACTGATGGCTTGCTCCTGATGTATTGTTGTGTGTTGTTTTTCTCTTTCTGCAGGTCTAGAAGCAGACTCTTGTTCATCATTGGTTGTTTATTTTTGTGTTATAAAAACACCTTATCAGTAACACACAGTGTCCTAAACTAACTTACTGACTCAGTGATAAGTTATAAACCACATATTAATCAAACAAGCCCACCATAACAATGTACTATAGATGCTTACACTATAAGATGAATCCACACAATATATTTAATTGAAGACATTTAACGGCGTGTGTGTTTTCGTTGTATGTGTTCGTGCACGTCCTTCACGCGTGCGATCAAGAACAAAGTAGAAACTCACTGAAAAGAAAGCTACATGACTACATATTAACTTGGTACAAACACATGCTCGCTCCAGGTGGCTTGCACTCTGAGATTTAATCCCAAACCGAAATATTTTCTTCTGTTATCAAGAGAAGAGACCTGTTTGGTTTTGGCGAGGTGTGCTGGTGGCAGCAGGAGTATCCGAGATACGGTCTGTTTCTAAATAAACAAACACGATTCGGAACAGAAATGATGCTGAAATCAAGCAAGAGGCGGAGCTCACCAAACGCCGACGTCACGTTAGTTCCACAGGAAGTCCCAGCCTCAGAGCAGGAGCTAAAATGGTTCTAGGAACTACGGGAAAAGCTTGCTACAGTCCGAAAGCGCCTCATGTCTCATGTTCACCCGCAGAGAATTGGGTACAGTTTGGGGGGCTCGGTCATGGGATTCAGTGTTATCAATCATTCATGATTTATTTAGATGGTCTTGCTGTGGATTTTTTTTGTGAATGTAATTTAGTGTTTAGATTTAGAATTAGTGTCACAATGACACGTGTCATTTCATTTCCTTTGTTTTAGTAGATCAGTTTAGCCAGGTGAGTGGCGAGGGGGGTTTGGTATGATTCTGTGTGTTAGAGGGTTGTGGTCAACAACAATAATAACAATAATAACAATAATAATAATAATAATGGGAACTCTGAGGAAGCAGCATTGAAACATTACTGTGTAATTTTTTTATTTGCACCTATTCAAACAATACTCACCTGACTCACCTGTTTTTCATCTGTAACATAGCATGTTCAGATAAACAGGACAATAGAAATAAAATAGTAATTTAGATCAAAACAATATAATTAATATGTTAATAAAAAAAGAATGATAACAGTGAAAGTAGTTGTCATTACATAGCCGTCTTTGGTAAATTATAACTGAATGTCAAAGAAAAACTAATATTATTTATAAACAAAACTACATATGATATTACCATTAAGAGAATTTATCAACAAAAATAACAATGATTTTTTAGGGTTTTATTGCAGAGTTAGTCTGGTGATGATGGAGAACCTGCTCTCTCCCTGTTCCAACCTTCAGGACTAGCTCTCCCTGTTTTCATCTGTTGAATATTTGTTTAGTGTGTCATCATTTCTTGTGGTTCTGGTTAACTTTTTCCTGTAACTATAACCAAAACTTTACTGTTCTTCACTGATTGGTGGATCAGGTGAGAAAATGTTCCTTTTTCTGATTTATTTTCAGGAAAAAGTAATAAGGAAGTGCTGGACATTTTAACATCAGGGTTTCGACTGCCGTGTCCAACTCGCTGTCCCCAGAACATCTACCGGATCATGTTGGACTGCTGGGCTCCAGAGCCCTCCAAAAGACCTTCCTTCCATGCCCTGCAACACCAGCTGGATGTTATTTATGCCAAATTTTATTTCAAGACTGTAGAAATATAGAGAGATTCTGCTGATTTGATTATTTTAAAAAGTAACAGAAGAAACGTCCACATCTACGGAAGCTGCCACAAAACTGACCAACACCGAGAGACCGGAGTGTCTGAACTCAAAGACATGATGACAGAGAACGCCCACGGAAAGCGTAAAAACACCTTGGATCAAAAGAACCAAACATGTTTTACTGGTTGGTGTTTCCTTTGAATGTGCAATGTTTCTGTCCTGGTTGTGTCCTGCTGCAGTTGAACTAGTTCCTACATTTAGTTTCTACAGTCACATTGTTCTGGTCCAACAGCCTGTGTTGTGAGAGCAGGCTTCATATTCATTTCTCCCCTGAGGAGCTTTCTCCAGCCACAGTCTGAGACGACACAGAACCTTGTGCTTCTGACTCTAAAAGGTCAAGGTAAGTTAATTTATATAGCACTTTCCAGTTGCGTGAGCAACCCCAAACTGCTGAACATAATAATAATCAGCATAAAAACACACTATCCAATATAATAAAACAGATAAAATCACAAACATAACAGTGCAACACAAGAAAACCACAGAATAATAAAAGCATTCAAGTAAAATTTAACCTGCCATAAAAACCAGTTCATATAAGTACGTCCTAAGTAGGGATTTGAAATGTTCTAAACTTACGCGAGCCTTAGTTGTCGGGGAAAGCTGTTCCAGGGTCTCTGAACCGCCACCGGAAACGCTCTGTCTCCCCTAGTTTTCAAACAAGTCTTCAGAATTTCTAAGTGAATTTGAGAGCCTAACCTCAAATTCCTTGCCAGAGTAAAGAGGTTCACCCGTTCAATATATGGAGCAGCCAACCCATTCAGGGACTTGAAAACAAAAAGCAGAGTTTTAAAATGGACTCTGTACACTGGGGAGCCAGTGAAGAGAGACCAGTATGGGGGTAATATGGTCCCACTTCCTAGTGCAGGAAATGTGAGCAAAACTGGAAGGTCACAGGCCTCAGTAGAAGACGAGGTCTGCATGGAGCTCCTAGCAAATGGCTGTAAAAAAGGCAAAATCTACTTATTTTTATCTGATATTGGCTCTAATGAGCATAACCTAGTATTTTTTTTTCTACTGTGGATGGGATTTTAAACCCTTCATGTGTCGGTGGACTCGAAGCCTCTTTGACTACTGCTCAGAGGTTTCCGACATATTTTATAGACAGTCTAGTTGTATTGATGATGATATCTGTTTTGATTAATCTACTTTGTGAATTCTTTGAGTCTGTATCCACAGATATGTTGAATAAAAATTTTGGAAGCATGAAACTAACTAGCTCTGCAATCGACATCATTCCATCTGTTGTTAAGGACGTTGGGCCAGTTATTTAAAATATGGTTTATAGTGTAATAAACTGTAGTTTGTAGTCTGGAGAAGTTCTGAAAAGTCTGAAACAAGCAGTAATCAAACTCTTTCTCTAGCAACCCGGTCTTGATGTCTCAGTATTATCCAATTATCGACCTATTTCTATGCTGCCATTTCTTTCTAAGGTTCTTGAGAAAGTTTTTAAGTGATTGTTTGGCCATCTAGATGCTAACCCACTTTTAGATGTTTTTCAGTCAGGTTTTAGAGAATAGTACAGAAACTGTGCTAGTGAGAGTGTTCAGTGATATTTACAATTATACTGATGTGGGTGACCCAGTCTTTTTATTACTCTTAGATATGGCCGCTGCTTTTGATCATGTTATACTTCTCGATCGACTGGAGAAGTTTGTTGGTCTCTCTGGTTCAGCACTCTCCTGAATGAGTTCCTACTTGTCTGATAGATATGTGACTTAACATTGGTAGCTGATGCTCGAGTGATGTTTCCCCGATGGGGTCCCACAGGGCTCGTTACTTGGTCCTCTGCTTTTCAATTTATATTTGCTCCCACTTGGGGCCATCTTTAGGAAATATGTGCTTGACTTTAATTTTTATGTTGATGACTGTCATGTCTACGCGCCTATTAAAGCTAAGGAAGTGGCTCTAATGTGTATGTGAGGTTAATGATTGGATGGGTTGTAATTTTCTGCAGATGAACAATTCTAAGACTGAGTTGTCCGAGTGGTGCTCCTGTAGTTACTCAGTCTTTGATTAGTGGTTTCTCATATGATGCAAAGGATGTTGTCTAATTTGGGTGTTAAGATACATTTTCAGCTTAATTTTGATGTTCATGTGGTTCGATTTTGTTTTTGTTTTTTTCACCTACGGAATGTTTATAAGGTTAAGTCCTTTTTGATTAGGAATGATTTCAAGAAGCTTATCCATGCATTTATAACATCTCATTTAGACTAATGCAATAGTCTTTACTTGGGTGTTAATCATGGATGTATTGCTAGGCTGCAGCTAGTTCAAAATGCTGCAGCCCACCTTTTGACTGGCGCATGTCAATTTGATCACATCTCTCCAGTTCTTGCCTCTCTGCATTGGATCCCAGTTAAGTTCTGTGTGCAATTTAAGATTTTGGTTCTGACCTACAAATGTTTAAATGGCCTTGCTCCTAGCTATTTATCTAAAGTTCTCGTGCCATATGTCCCATCTTGTGGATTGTGTTCGGCTGACCAGCATAGGTTGAGTGTACCTAGGGCAAGGCTACAGAGAAGAGGTTTTAGGTCTTTCTCTGTGGCTGCACCTACTTTGTGAAATATGTTGCCCATCTCCATTCGGCAGGCGTCATCTGCCTAATCTGTTGCCATTTTTAAAAAGCTACAGAAGACTTATTTATACTCGACAGCTTTTAGTTCCTAGTTGACTTGGTAGTCCTGCTTTTTACCATTTCTTATGTCTGATTTTTAATGTATTATCTATGTTTTATTGCATTTTTACTTGACTGCTTATATTTTTATGGTTTATATGTCTATGTTCAGCAGTTTGGGCAGCATTTAAAGTGCTATACAAATAAACCTGATTTGATTTAGTGCCTGTTGGCAAGTGTGCCGCCACATTTTGAACAAGTCTATTTAATGAAGATGTTTTCTCTCCAGAGTCAGACATCAAGTGAAGAGCAGGATCTGTGTGGAATTCATCTCAGTTTGGGTTCTGATAGTCTGGTCTGGGCAGTTCTTTGGGAGGACTTGCAAACCAGACTTAACTAAAAACACTTTGTGACTAAATACTAACCCAAACATTAGCTTCAGAATTTGTGTCCCACAGTAACTCTTCATAAACCCGTGGAACCACTTCAACAAAATCACAAAGCTTTTGAGCGTCCAGATCCTACCAACATGACTTTGTTGCAGTACTGACTGGACCCAGAACACAAGTGTAGAGACCAGTAGAGTGCATCCTCCCTGTTGGATTTCTGTATAGAAAATAATTAAGCATGTTGCAGTTTGGGGATGAAGGAATTTTATGCATTATATCTGCAACAAATAAAGCTTTACGGTTGAGGAACAGCCCAAAATAAAAGTATTTTCATTGTTGTCTCTCCATCCCCTCTGTATCTCCTGCAATGCCAAGTCTAAAATGTTTGAAGTTTTATTTGACAGGTCTGTGCTTCTTCCCCACCAAGTCAGATTTCAGAATCATGTATAATATGACCTGTTCTCTCTATCCTTATGGAGGTAACACAGCTGTTGAGTTCACTGTCTTGGGTAGAAAGCACACATTTTACTCCTCACCTTCTCCTGTATTACCTGTTATACAGGTGCTGGCCAGTAAATTAGAATATCATCAAAAGGTTGAAAATATTTCAGTAATTCCATTCAAAACGTGAAACTTGTACATTATATTCATGCAATGCACACAGACCAATGTATTTCCAATGTTCATTACATTTAAATTTGATATTCATAAGTGACAACTAATGAAAACTCCAAATTTGGTATCTCAAAAAATTAGAATATTCTGAAAAGGCTGAATATAGAAGACACCTGCTGCCACTCTAATCAGCTGATTTACTCAAAACACCTGCAAAGGCCTTTAAAAGGTCCCTCAGTCTTGTTTTGAAGGCACCACAATCATGGGGAAGACTTCTGACTTAACAGCTGTCCAAAAGACAATCATTGACACCTTGCACAAGGAGGGCAAGACACAAAAGGTGATTGCTAAAGAAGCTGGCTGTTCGCAGAGCTCTGTGTCCAAGCACATTAACAGACAGGCGAAGGGACGGAAAAAATGTGGTAGAAAAAAGTGTACAAGCTCTAGGGATAACCGCACCCTGCAGAGAATTGTGACGACAAACCCATTCAAAAATGTGGGGGAGATCCACAAAGAGTGGACTGCAGCTGGAGTCAGCGCTTCAAGAACCACCACGAGGAGACTCATGAAAGACATGGGATTCAGGTGTCGCATTCCGTGTGTCAAGCCACTCTTGAACATGAAACAGCGCAAGAAGCGTCTCGCCTGGGCCAAGGACAAAAAGGACTGGACTGATGCTGAGTGGTCCAAAGTTATGTTTTCTGATGAAAGCAAGTTCTGCATTTCCTTTGGAAATCAAGGACCCAGAGTCTGGAGGAAGAGCGGAGAAGCACAGAATCCACGTTGCATGAGGTCCAGTGTAAAGTTTCCACCGTCAGTGATGGTGTGGGGTGCCATGTCATCTGCCGGTGTTGGCCCACTCTGTTTCCTGAGGTCCAGGGTCAATGCAGCCGTCTACCAGGAAGTTTTAGAGCACTTCATGCTTCCTGCTGCTGACCAACTTTATGGGGATGCAGACTTCACCTTTCAACAGGACTTGGCACCTGCACACAGTGCCAAAACCACCAGCACCTGGTTCAAGGACCATGGTATCCCTGTCCTTGATTGGCCAGCAAACTCGCCTGACCTTAACCCCATAGAAAATCTATGGGGTATTGTGAAGCGGAGGATGCAATACGCTAGACCCAACAATGCAGAGGAGCTGAAGACGACTATCAGAGCAACCTGGGCTCTCATAACACCTGAGCAGTGCCACAGACTGATCGAGTCCATGCCACGCCGCATTACTGCAGTTATTGAGGCAAAAGGAGCCCCGACTAAGTATTGAGTGCTATACATGCACATTCTTTTCATGTTCATTCTTTTCAGTTGGCCAACATTAGAGAAACAAACATTTTTTCATTGGCCTTTAGAATATTCTAATTTTCTGAGATACCAGATTTGATGTTTTCATTGGTTGTCACCTATAAATATCAAAATTAAACGTAATAAACATCGGAAATACATTGGTCTGTGTGCATTGCATGAATATAATGTACAAGTTTCACGTTTTGAATGGAATTACTGAAATATTTTCAACCTTTTGATGATATTCTAATTTACTGGCCAGCACCTGTACTGATGTGATTGAATCTTTTGAATGAGTTTTAAAAGGGAATGATGAGAGTCTAGTCTTAGTAATATTCGTCTCGTCTTCCAGTAAACCCCCTCTGTGCTCCAGAGTAACCATTTGTAAGTGGTTACTTTTAATACATTTTCAATAGAATATACAGTGGGGCAAAAAAGTATTTAGTCAGCCACCGATTGTGCAAGTTCTCCCACTTAAAATAATGACAGAGGTCAGTAATTTACATCATAGGTACACTTCAACTGTGAGAGACAGAATGTGAAAAAAATCCATGAATTCACATGGCAGGATTTTTAAAGAATTTATTTGTAAATCAGGGTGGAAAATGGAGCCGGCAGCTCCCTTCCCCGTGGTGTTTGTCCAGCACGTCCGCTCTCTCTCGTTGTCAAACTTGAACTGAATAACTTAACAAAAAACCCAGTTCTCTTCCCAAAGCAAACTTGTGCGTCAGAGCAAATGTGTTTTGGAGTTTACTGTGAGAGTAGACCTGTGTGAGCGAGTGTGAAGGTCATCACTAAAACATCTTCAAAACATTATTTAATTAAGCATTGATTCATTATAATTATTATGATTAACTAAAGCATAATAATAATTCATTTGTTTAAAACACATTTATAATGAGTAAAATGGTAAAATGATTATTTAGCATTAATAAACAAAGGAAGTGTAAGACTCTTATTATGACTAGCTTTCTTATGAGAATTCCTTCTTCTGGAAGCTGCAGGTGTTGGATGTTGTGGGATCGTGTAGACTCGCTGGCGGCTTAGGTCTTTATCTGTGGGTGAAAGTTCTGAGCGACCCAGCTCTTGACCCAGCCGGGCAATACAACCTTTTGCACAGAAAACCCATATTTCCTCACATTACAATATATACATATGTATATATACACACATATATATATATACATATGTATACATACATATATATTTATATATACACATATACATATATATATATATATATATACATGTACATGTATATACATATACAAATATATATACATAAACATATGTATACATATATATATATATATATATATATATATACATATATATATATATATATATACATATATATATATATATATATATATATATACATGTACATATATATACATGTACAAATATATATACATGTACATATATATACATGTACAAATATATATACATATACATATATATACACTTATATATATGTATACATATATATATATACACATATATGTACATATATAAATACACATATATATACATATATATACATATATGCATATATATGTATATATATATATGTGTATATATACACACATATATATATACATACATATATATACATATATATATATATATAATGTATACATATGTATATATATACATATGTATACATATGTATACATATATACATATATATACATATGTATACAGGTGCTGGCCAGTAAATTAGAATATCATCAAAAGGTTGAAAATATTTCAGTAATTCCATTCAAAACGTGAAACTTGTACATTATATTCATGCAATGCACACAGACCAATGTATTTCCAATGTTCATTACATTTAAATTTGATATTCATAAGTGACAACTAATGAAAACTCCAAATTTGGTATCTCAAAAAATTAGAATATTCTGAAAAGGCTGAATATAGAAGACACCTGCTGCCACTCTAATCAGCTGATTTACTCAAAACACCTGCAAAGGCCTTTAAAAGGTCCCTCAGTCTTGTTTTGAAGGCACCACAATCATGGGGAAGACTTCTGACTTAACAGCTGTCCAAAAGACAATCATTGACACCTTGCACAAGGAGGGCAAGACACAAAAGGTGATTGCTAAAGAAGCTGGCTGTTCGCAGAGCTCTGTGTCCAAGCACATTAACAGACAGGCGAAGGGACGGAAAAAATGTGGTAGAAAAAGTGTACAAGCTCTAGGGATAACCGCACCCTGCAGAGAATTGTGACGACAAACCCATTCAAAAATGTGGGGGAGATCCACAAAGAGTGGACTGCAGCTGGAGTCAGCGCTTCAAGAACCACCACGAGGAGACTCATGAAAGACATGGGATTCAGGTGTCGCATTCCGTGTGTCAAGCCACTCTTGAACATGAAACAGCGCAAGAAGCGTCTCGCCTGGGCCAAGGACAAAAAGGACTGGACTGATGCTGAGTGGTCCAAAGTTATGTTTTCTGATGAAAGCAAGTTCTGCATTTCCTTTGGAAATCAAGGACCCAGAGTCTGGAGGAAGAGCGGAGAAGCACAGAATCCACGTTGCATGAGGTCCAGTGTAAAGTTTCCACCGTCAGTGATGGTGTGGGGTGCCATGTCATCTGCCGGTGTTGGCCCACTCTGTTTCCTGAGGTCCAGGGTCAATGCAGCCGTCTACCAGGAAGTTTTAGAGCACTTCATGCTTCCTGCTGCTGACCAACTTTATGGGGATGCAGACTTCACCTTTCAACAGGACTTGGCACCTGCACACAGTGCCAAAACCACCAGCACCTGGTTCAAGGACCATGGTATCCCTGTCCTTGATTGGCCAGCAAACTCGCCTGACCTTAACCCCATAGAAAATCTATGGGGTATTGTGAAGCGGAGGATGCAATACGCTAGACCCAACAATGCAGAGGAGCTGAAGACGACTATCAGAGCAACCTGGGCTCTCATAACACCTGAGCAGTGCCACAGACTGATCGAGTCCATGCCACGCCGCATTACTGCAGTTATTGAGGCAAAAGGAGCCCCGACTAAGTATTGAGTGCTATACATGCACATTCTTTTCATGTTCATTCTTTTCAGTTGGCCAACATTAGAGAAACAAACATTTTTTCATTGGCCTTTAGAATATTCTAATTTTCTGAGATACCAGATTTGATGTTTTCATTGGTTGTCACCTATAAATATCAAAATTAAACGTAATAAACATCGGAAATACATTGGTCTGTGTGCATTGCATGAATATAATGTACAAGTTTCACGTTTTGAATGGAATTACTGAAATATTTTCAACCTTTTGATGATATTCTAATTTACTGGCCAGCACCTGTACATATATACATACATATACATATGTATACATGTATATATGTATATATATATATATATATATACATATGTATATATGTATATATATATATATATTCATATGTATATATGTA